AAAGACAGGACCTATCACTTTTAGTCACAAGGCATATTTTAGAATGCTAGGGTCTGAAAATTTAGATTTTTTTTTTCAGATATAAAGCATAATATTATGCACATAGTGACCTCATTTTGACCTTCATTTTTTTTACTTCAGTGCTTTAATTTTATCAATTGTATTACTAAGATTCTTCCAATAAATGTACAGTAATAGAATTTAGTTAGAAATTTTGTCATTTGTCTATAAAACAATAAATAATACTCCTGAACTCTCACACATATAATTGATTTATAAATAAAAATGGTTTTGGAAGTACTTGTTGAAAACCAACAATGTATAAGATAGTGGAGATAGAAAAATGATGGAAATACAGCTTTCTCCCTCAGTTATTTAGAGTTTACTAGGGTGGTGGTGATGAATGTATGTGGATGTATATAATTAATAAATATCAAGTTACTCTGTGGTTTGCGTGGATATAGAAGTCTAAATAAAATGCTATGGATATATAGTGATAGAAAAGTGCTGTGAGAAAACAGGAATGGAAGATGTTAATTTTAAAATAGATTATTAGGAAAGTTTCTCAAAAGGGGCAACATTTGAGCTGGGTCTTGATTGATGAATTTAAAGAGTATCAAAGATTGTAGGTAAGTGCCAATACAAACAAAGTCTGTAATGATGTTACTGGAAGGAAATCTCCATGAAGGTAGAAACTTTGTCCTGTTCTATGTGGTTGACACATAGAAGGGCTCAATAAATATTGTCAAATAAATGCAATTGTTTAATGCATGTATAAATGTCAGGTAAACAATTTGATCATTGAGAAAGAGTTCACTCTCCTTTTGCATGGCTTGTATTTGGTGGTGGTAGGGACTTTCTTTTTAATTATCCTTGGATTAAGTAAAAAAGGTAGGTCATTTCTATGACACAGATGTGTGAAAAGTTTGTGTTAACAAAATTTACAGAAATATCTGGAAAAGGGTACATAGAAAGCATTCTTGGAACCTTTAAATAATCTGCCTCTGATTTGAAAATGAATGAAACAAAATTTATAGAAAATTTATAGACTGTATATAAAATACAGTCTTTGAAATATAAAACTCAAAGGGCTACCTAGACAATAGATTAGACACAGCTTACGAGGGAGTTAACTGAAAGATAACCTGAGTAAATGACATAGAATGAAGGAAATAAAAATAAAGAGAAAGAAATAAAGGACATTGAAACTGGAAAGTAAGAGGTCAAATTGTCCTTGTTTGCATATGATAATGATCTTATATCTAGAGAGACCTAAAGACTCCACAAAAGTTATTAGAACTGATAAACAAGTTCTGGAGAGCTGCAGGATACAAAATCAACATATTAATACAAAAATCAGTAGGATTTCTATATGCCAACAGTAAACAATCTGAAAAAGAAAACAAGAAAGTTATCTATTTACAATAGTTGGAAATAAAATATCTAAGAATAAACTTAACCAAAGAGGTTAAAGATCTCAATAATGAAAACTATGAGACATTGTTGAAAGAAATTGAAGAGGACAAAAAAAATGGAAAGATATTCCATGTCCATGGATTAGAAGAATCAGTATTGTTAAAATGTCCATACTACTCAAAGACATCTAAGATTCAATGCAGTCCTCATCAAAATACCAAGAACATTCTTCACAGAAACATAAAAACTAATCCTAAAATTTGTATGTAACCACAAAAGACCCAGAATAACCGAAGTCATCCTGAGCAAAAAGAACAAAATGGGAAGAATCACATTATCTGACTTCAAATTATATTACAGAGCTGTAGTAACCAAAACAACGTGGTACTGAAATAAAAAGAGACAAATAGAACAATGGAACAGAATAGAGAACCCAGAAGTAAATCCACACATCTGTAGTGACCTTATATTTAACAAAGTTGCCAAGAATATACAGTGGGGGAAGGACAGTCTCTTCAATAAATGGTGCTGGGAAAACTGGATATCCATATGCAGAAGAATGAAACTACACCCTTATCTCTTGTCATTTACAAAAATCAAATCAAATGGATTCCATACTTAAACCTAAGACCTGAAACTATGAAATTACTAAAAGAAAACATTGGGGAAAGGCTTTAGGACATTGGTCTAAGCAAGGACTACTTGAGTAATACCTCTAAAGCACAAGCAACCAAAGCACAATTGGACAAATAAGACCACATTTAGCTAAAAAGCTTCTGTACAGCAAAGGAAACAATCAACAAAAGGAAGGAGCAACCCACAGAATGGGATAAAATATTTTCGAACTACCCCCATCAGGCAAAGTATTAATAACTACAAATATAAGGAGCTCCAACAACTCAATAGGAAAAAAAATCAAATAATCCAATTAAAAATGGGCAAAAGACCTGAATAGACATTTCTCAAACGAAGACATACAAATGGCCAACGGGTATTTGAAACAATTGTTATCATTGGTCATCAGAGAAATGCAAATCAAAACTACAATGAGATATCATCTCACCATAGTTAAAAAGGCTTTTATCAAAAAGACAGGAAATAACAAATGCTGGCAAGGATGTAGAGAAAGGAGAACCCTCATACACTGTTGGCAGGAATGTAAATTAGTGCAACCACTATGGAGACCGGTATGAGGTTCTTCAGAAAATTAAAAATAGAACAGCCATGTGATCCAGAAATCCCACTGCTGAGTATATACCCAAAGGAGGAGAATTCAGTATATCAAGAAGATATCTGCACTCCCATCTTTATTTCAGCACTTTTCACAATAGCCAAGATTTGGAATCAACCTCAGTGTTTACCAATGGATAAACTGTGGTGCATATACACAATAGAATACTATATAGCCACAAAAAGAATGAAATCCTGTCATTTGCAACAACATAGATGGAAATGGAGAACATTATGTTAAATGAAATAAGCCAAGCACAGAAAGGCAAATCTTGCATGTTCTAACTTGTATGTCCGAGCTAAACATTAAAACAATCGATCTCATGGAAACAGAGAGTAGAATGATTATTACCAGAGGCTGGGAAGGGAACCAGGGAGGGAAGGATAAAGTAGGAATGGTTAATGGTGCAAAACTATAGTTAGATAGATAGAATGAACAATATTTGATAACACAATGAAGTGACTATAATGAACAATAAGTTAGGGTATACTTTAAAATAACTAAAAGAGTAGAATCGGAATATTCCTAACATAAAGAAATGATAAATGCTTGAGATGATGGATACCCCAATTACCCTTATTTGATTAGTTCACATTGTATGCCTGTATCAAAACATCACATGTATCCTATAAAGATATACAACTATTATGTACCCATAATATTAATAATAATAATAACGATAAATGAAGAGAAGATGGGAAAGGGGAATGAAAATGTTAACCAATATGGAGAATAAATCCATTAAGAGATCCAATGTCTGAGTAGTAGACTAATAGTAGTTTCAGAAGGAAAGAACAGAAATGAGGAGCGATAAGGAGAGGCATAAACTATGGACTTTAAAAATATTATATCAATATCAGACCATCAATTGTAACAAAAGTACCGCACTAATGTAAGATAATAGGGGGGTAGATGAAGGGAGTATATGGGAACCATCTGAACTTTTTCCTTTCAATTTTTCTGTAAACCTAAAACTGCTCTAAAAAATCTATTAAAATAAATGAACAAATAAAATATGCAATGAGTTATAATTATACTTCAAATTGAACCATATTCAAGACAAAAACAAAAAGGGCTGAGAAATATATGCTTAGCAAGAATAGAATGCATAAAAATCCAGGACATTTGGCTGGGTGCTCATACCTGTAATGTCAGCACTTTGGGAGGCTTAGGTGGGAGGATCACTTGAGGCCCAGAGTTTGAGGCCAGCCTTGGCAACACAGCAAGACACTGTCACTAAAATAAGTAAGTCAGTAAATAAAATAAATAAATAAATAAATAAATAAATAAATAAATAAATAAATAAATAAAATTAGCCTATAGTCTTAGCTACTCTGGAGGCTGGGGCAAGAGGATCACTTGAGCCCAGGAGTTGGAGGCTACAGTGAGCTATGATTGAGCCACTACACTCTAGCCTGGGCAAGGGAGGGAGACCTTGTCTCAATCAATCAATAAATCAATCCAGGACATTAAAATATTATTGGGTTTTAAAACATTAGCATTTATAGATATTAAAATCCTATGGTATTAAGTAAACCTGCATGTTGAAAGCAGCATGAAAGAGCACAGAAATGAGAAGCTTGAGGGATTATAGTCCGTTTTTATAGACCCAAATCCTAACCAAAAAATACCTATTATTACACACCCTATATGGGAGTGTTAGATTTACTTCCCCACCACCAATCAAAGCCAGTTCAAGGCCCCATCCATAAGGATGAAAGTAATGTTATTTTTCAGGGTTCTTCAACACTTAAACCAGGAAATTATAAAAGTCCTTTCAAAATGGGGAAAGCACTTGTTTTCATAACATGGTGCTCATCACTGCCTTTGGTCACATTTGAAATCAGGCGACTCTGAAAAGAGGCTCCACTTTAAGTTTAGCCACTGAAATCTTTGACTTGGCTTCCAAAACATTCACGAGGAGCGCTCAGTCCTTGCAGGGCTCCAGACAGCCATCCATGGTCCTGCCACCGGAGGGCTCCACGTGTGAGCAGGTGCAAAACCTGGCACCTCACAGAACCTGCAGCACTCTGCCTCTTTCCTTATGGGGGTGGTGGGACAGTTAACAAACAGGCGAGCCAGAAGGCACCCATTCCCCTTCCGCGCAGGGCTCGCTTCACGGGAGTGAGACCTGCGCAGTTGCACCCTGCCCCTGCACTTGATTTGATGCGCCGCTGCTGCAATCTTGTAATTCTTGAACATTTTTTAAGGGACCCCACGTTTTCTTTTCGCACTGTCCTTATTATTCTGTTCTGTTTTAATCTCTTATTTATTATGTAATACACTAACATAATAATATAGTTTGACTCTCCACAAAGTTTTACCCATGGGTTGCCAACGGTGCTGTTCTCAGGGACCAAGCAAAGAAGTGTAAACGATTGAAGCAGGTGCGTCAGGGAGCCAGCAGGGGGTGCTGCGTCTGCGGTGAATGGAGGAAAACAAGCCTCGTCCAAAAGGAGCAACCAGTACTTGTCTGGGTGAGTGTTCTCATGAGGACTGTGGGCCAATTGTAGCTAGATCTTTCCATTTTAAAACAACCACCAAAACCCACTAGAGATGTACTTTTTATTTTCAAATATGAAATCATCATGCTTTAAAATGTTGACTTAAGTAGGGAAAATATCCTGTGTTGACTTCCAGGCTTTAGGGTTGCAAAACCTTCAGCAACCTGAAGCAAGAGCAGCACAGCACAAAATCTGGGAGGTGGACAGCATTAAAAGAAAGGATCTCTAGCTATCTGGATGAGGCTGCAAAGGTGTCCTCAACAATACACCAACAATTTGATATTATCAATTTAAAAAATAAATTAGACTTCTGATTCTGGGAAGATGGAATAGACATACTTTTCCCTATTCCTTCCACTAAGTGCAATTGAAAACTTTGGACAGTACATATAAAACAAACATGACTCTGAAAGGGAGAGAAAGTGGACCAGCTAGGCATCTTGGGTTAAAAGTGGAATGGATGAGATGGCTACGGTGAGGAGAGAAATGCAAAATGAGGGCCAAAGAAAGAAATTTGGGGATGCCTCCAGAGTTATTACTCTTTGATTTACAATGAGAACAACATAGGAGCTTTTTAAAAAATAATCCAATCCTTAGTATCCCTCCATGGAGATTCATGGGTGCTTTCTATATTTTTTCAAGGCTCTACAGATAATTCTATGGTGCAATATATGTTGAAAACAGCTAAATCACTGGAGGGAAAAAGAACTAAGAAGGATTTGCCATAAACAGGGAAGTGATTCAGAAGATAGCATTCAGGAAGCTAAGGAAGCGGCAGATTCATGGATGTGAGAGTGGCCAACAGCACCAAATTCTGTAGGACAGTAAAGAGATTGAGGACTCAAAGGAAGTTCTTTCTTGAATAATGAAACAAAGACTGCATTTGAAGGCTCTTAAATGTTGTGGGAATACTAAAATAAATTAGGTCTGTATATATCAGTATCTTATTTTATAGGCCAATAAGGGAGCAGTTCAGGGCAATGATAGTAAAAAGGAGTAAAGAGAGAACCTTACACTAACTTTAGAACTGCCTAGACACCATCCCTGATGACTTTATTAAGAGGACAATAGATGTCTATGAAGTCAACCTATTTTAAAAATGATAGTACAAAATGCTGTCAGAAGGCAAATATCTAGGGTGCAAATCTAAATACAATTTATATAAAGTCAAGACTTAGATAAATTATAAAAATATTAGGAAATGCCCAAATTAAAAAACTCAAAGTTTACTACCTTATATAATTTTTCTTATTTCACATTCTGATATCTTTAATCTTACAATTTATTAGTTCTATGACAAACTGGTAATTTCCCTTTAAGTATATAATTTTTATGATTTGCTACGTTCTAAAAATATAGTATGAAATCTTCCTCATTTTATAATGAAAATAAATATTAACATATATGCATAATGGTCTATTAGTAAATGCTTTCATATTTTTATCATTTTTTCATATTGTTATTTATATTTTTTTTATTTTTTTTTAAATGAACCCTTAAGAATAGATGTTATTTATATTTTTGATACAGTCAACATTCCTATGGTATAAATAAGGCAGGTATTAGAATTACTATTATATAGAAGAGGTAATGAAAGCCCTTGCAAATGAAGTGATTTGCTCAAGGACCTCCAACTTCTGTGTAGCAGAACGGAAACTCAAGGCTTCTGATCTTTGCAATTTTCCATAGCACATTTGTTCTGTATATTAGGATGCCTGTGTCTTACTTATCATTTCTTTTTTAAGAGACAGATTTCACTATGTTGCCCAGGCTGAATTCAAACTCCTATGCTGGAGCATTCCTCCTACCTCAGCTTCCCAAGGAGCTGGGACTACAGGCAAACACCATCATGCCCTTAGTTACCATTTCTGATGGGGGCTTAGTAAAAAATTATGCCCATGTGTTTCACAGAGGGTGCGCCAGTGGCAAGCTCTGCTTTGTGAGAAATAATGGGGAGAGAAGGTTCAAGTGTTTTGTCCTGAACAAAAAGGGTATCAGTTGTTTTATTCACAAAGTGAAAAGAGAGGAAAAAACTTGTCACTGGACTCCATGGCAACAGAAGCAAACTCTGATGATCCTTCCTATAAAGGCTAGAGGTTTCAAAGTTAAAAATAAAAAAAATATCAGTAGATTTTTTTACTCAAATGTCCCTGATGTTAAGGGTCTCTTGACAGGGTATTATTATACTTAGTTTTCCTGTTTTACAGAAGAACTTAAAACAAACAAAAAAAAGAGGCTTAAAAAAACAACAATTTTACTTTTGCGATAAATCTCTATGTAACTTAAAAAGGCAGCATTTAATGAACAAACATTATACAAAGCTATTTTTAAAAGCCATCTATGTTTATAAGATGGGTTTCTCTAAAATATAGAGAAATTAAATCTTGCTTTTTGGAATAGCTAATACATTCAACAAAGTAAAATACTCTTATAAAGAGCAGCTTTATAAAATCTATTAGAAACATTATTCTACCAAGACACTACAGAATCAAATCTTAGTAATCTTCAGGAAAGATGGCAACATTGATTCCTGGATTGTCATCATCATCATTTTCAAGTTCTTCATTATATTTTTCTGTAATAGATTTTCCATGTGCCTTTTCTGGGTTTCTTTTTTTCTTATGAGTATATAAAGGGTTATTTTTCTCTTTGATCTTGGGATGTGAATTACTAATAGCTTCTCTTTCCAAAGCATGCTGTAGACAGTTGTAAAACCTGTAAAGAAATAATAACCACTGTTATATCTGTGTTCCAAAACTGAATGACTGAAATACACCAGAATTTATAAATTATGTAAATTTGACAATATCTCATATTGCCCTTATAAATACAAAATATATCAAAGAAATAGTATGCCTCTTACCTTTCTCATTATTTAGTTAGGAAAAGAAATGTGTTTTCAGTTCAAGAACAGTCCTGAAAATTGAATTGGAATCACCTCTTGACAATATCTAACCTACCTCAATTTCCATCCCAAATGTAGGGGTTAAATATAAGATGGTTAAAAAGAATGGAAATTATTATTCTTTACAAAAATACCATAAAATGTATTAGAGGCTCATTTTAGAGAATTGGGAAAATATATTAAGTTACAAATACAGATCACCTCCAAATAATAACTACTCTCAATATTTTTACTTCTTTCCAGTTTACTAATGTAGTCTGAATTAACATATTTATACATGCACAAATATACCTATTTTTACCCAGAATATTACATACAAAGTTTTACATTTTTCACATTTATTTAATATTTATTAAGAACATTTTCTATATCATCAAATGAACTACAAAATAATTATTTTTGATGGTAGTATAACACTATGTCATCTAGATTGGCCTTTATTTATTTTCAAATTTTCCCTAATAAAAACAACACGATAAACATTTTTAAAAATGATGTGATTTTTCATTTTTTAGGATAAACACCTAGAAATGTAATCATATGGTTAAAGTGTATAAACATTTTAAAGCTCTTGATAAACACTGCCTGTTTTCCAGAATGGATGTTTAAAAAAATATGCTTCTAATTGAAGCACTTGAGAGAGACCATTCACCCACGCATTACGTATTACCATCAAAACACATGTACTTTGATGGGTAAAATGGCATCCCATTATTTTAATTTTTACTTCTTTGTTTGCAAGGGAAATTGAATGTTTTTCATTTGTTTATTAGCTATTTAAAATTTTCTAAAATGTAAATTGTTCTTTTCCCTTATTCATTTTTCTATTGGAGTTTTCATTTTAGCTAATTCCAATTAATTCCACTGAGTCTTGATTTCTTTATTTATAAAACTGTAGATTATTATTTGGTACCTAGTGGGATTGTCACAGTGTTACATATATGTAAGTACCTAGCACAGTGCCTGGCACAGAGTTAGTTCTCAGTAACAACCATTTTTAGAAATATAGACTTCATGACACCAAGGACCTTATATATTTGCCTCATTATATTCTCAACATGTAGTACAGTGCTTGCAAACTCAGTAAAAGTATGTTGAATAAATAGTAATAACTACTGAATAAAAAAAGTAACTATGGATGTATTTTCTGAGTTCCTAAATTAGAATGATATGGAAATTGAGAACTCCCTTGCCATTGTAGAGATCTCATCTTGTTTTTACATCTTATTATCTTGCGAGACTATGACAGGAAGTTTTTTACATCTATAGAATAGATTGCTATTTGAACCAATTTTCATCTTTCTTAATTGAATCAACAGGCTAACTTTCACTTGGAAAGGCTCTAAAACTCTAAAACCCCAAATATTCCACAGAACTCTAATGTACACACAACATGATTACTGCATATCCTGGCCATATTTCAAGAACTTATATACTTACCACTATATATCTTGATATCTGGTACTGTGCTTAGCATAAAATAGATGCTTAATAAATATTTCTTCAATGAATAAATCAATCAATCTCAAAGAGAGAGGCACAGTAAAAGGAAAAAGACTGACAAACATTGTCATATAACTTTTTGGGCCTTGTTCCATGGTAACCACCTTTTCATTTAATGCACCCTTTACATCCTTACTTGACTGGACTCCTGCTTCCTCACAGACACCATCTCCCCTCATTCCTTTCAAGTGGAGACTACTTATTCTTTCCATATCCTGTGACCACTGAGATGAGAGATGAGGTCAGAAATCAAATAGCTCATCAACACTTTGCCAGACTAAATTCCTTTGTTTGTCCTCATGTCATCTACCAATATTCTGTTTGGTACTTTACACTGATGAAAACTTCTACACTTCACTTGCTTGATTTTTCTTTCTAGTCACCTTAGGTAACTTTAGTGGCTGGTTTTCTTCCTATCTTCCCCAGAGCCTATTTAGAATGCCCTAGATTTATATCTCCTAACATAAATCTGAGCATGCCACAAGATAGTATGGATCCCCCTTATCTGATTGTAAGCTGCCTATGATACACAATCTCATCTTAAACCATTCTTTACCCACCCTGCACTTTAGGCTTAGGTAACCAAGTCTTTTTTCTGAATTATACTTTATTCCTAGAATATGAAAGATAAGATTAAATTGCTCTTTTATGATCACTGAGAATTAACAGCTTGTGAAAAATGTCTTGTCAATCACATAAAAAAGTAATTAAAGAGGAACAAATGCCCTACTTTACTGTTAAAAACCCTAAGAATTCAAAGCTACATTCTTAAGGTACTAAAAAACAACTGGTAAAATGAAACAAAGATCCTTTCTTGATGAAAGTCAAGAATAAAAACATCAAATACAAGTTTTCCCTTCCCTTTTTAGGGAATTTTAAAAGTCCTTTGAGAAACTGTCATAGTAAATGAGAAATTTGTTTTCCGATTATGTTCTCTCTCATACTATGACCCTTACACAGCATTCTAATGCCTGATTCTCTAAGTGTATTTTCTCAGCTCTCATAGGCAACAAAAAGAGCTCTGAGTATTAAAACAATGTATGCTCAGGCTACTGTTTTATCTCGACCTTGAAAAAAATAAAATTGTCTTCAGTTTTTCTACCTCTGTAGTCAAGATTATCATGCCATAGAACAACTTGTACTTAGTTCTGTTCATGAGATAGAACTTTTCAGGCCATCCCTGAGAAAATGAATTCTTGTTTTTAAAGGTTAGAGAATCACTTGCAATAAAAAGTTGGAATTTCTTTGACTTCTGAAGCAGGAGCATAGAATTGAAGGCATTGAGGTACAATTTCATACCCTTTCAGGAGTCCATCATTCACAAATATCAAAGAAAGCTATTCTGACATATTACATATTTGTATTTTAACTGATTAAGCTGTAGCATTTTAATTAAAAACATGTATGTGACAGGGCCGGTGCCAGGCACTGGAAACACAGGTAAGAGTTGTACTCTATGATCTGTGCCTTCTAGGAGCTCATGGTTTAATAGGAGCTGCAGAACTGTAAAGCCACATTTAATATGCCAAGAAAAAGACAAGATAAATTAGGAGCACAGTGGGAGCACATTGCTCCAACTGAGATCATGACTTGCTCTTTGGAAAAAGATTCAATGCCTGGGCTGAACTGCAAGGAAGAATGAGAGCTGGCTATGTGATGAGGGAGGAATTAGGAGGGGAAAAAATGAAGGAGAGAGGATATCCAATTAGATACTATCAGAAAATAAAATACATGCTTTTACTTTATATTATTTACTTCTTTGATCTTAAATATATAGGGAAACGTCAGTGATTTATTTAGCTGCTTTAGTCCCATTTTTAGAAATGATAAGATTAGCAACTGTGGGGAGTCTAAGGCATCTGTTATTCTTTAGTCTTCCCTTTCCAATGTGTGGCCATGTCCAGTGCATATTCGGTACTGTCACTCCCGCTCATCTTGTTACTCAGGGTCCTGTTACTTCTTTCCTAGCTTGTGTAGCAAGGGCCTCCTCCTGCTCATCCCATCTCTGAGCCATTTTACACATCTTCCAGAATAATCACCCTAATGCTTTGAAGGCTTAAAAGTAGCACTATTTATTTAAAATGCCAGTCAACTAAATTTAGTAAACATTTATGAACCATTACTATCACGCCAGACACTCAGAATATAAGGATGAATAAAAAACTGTCTCTGCCTTTGGGAACTCCAATATAATATGTTAACTTTCAAGCTCCTTTATCTTTAATGATTAATTCAATAAATAATTATTGGGCTTCTACTATGTGTTATATGGATAACAGATATTTCTAGTGCATATGTATATGTGAGTTAGGTTGGGAGAAAAAATAGAATAGTAGTTACCAGGGACTGGACGTATAGAGAATGGGGAGTTATTGTTTAATGGGTACACAGTTTTAGTTTGGGATGACGAAAAGTTTTAGAGATGGATAGTGGTGATAGTTGCATAATAGTGTGAACGTACTTTAATGCCACTTGTTAAAATGGTAAATTTCATGTTATGTGTATTTTACCACCATAAAAAAAGTGAAGAAAAAAAAAAAAAAGAAAATCAACCAGTGGAAGTAGTTCCAATTACTTTTTCTTTCAAATTTGCTTCATTATTATCAACAATACATAAATATATTCAGCCCTTTTATTCTACATTTTGTTTAAAATTTTATTACATTGTTGGTGAAAAAAAGAGTATGGCTAATTTTACTCTACTCACAGCCAAATGGTGGTTTCATCTAACTTATGTCCTGGCCTCTTATTAAAAGATACAAAGATAGCCTCCTTTTATAGTTAGTAAATAGGTCTCCAAACTTCATATTTTTCAAATGGAAATCATTATGCATGGAATTATTTAACGGTGTCTGGTGTCAGTCCCTGTCTCTTCCAGTCTCCAGATCAGCTGGCCGTGTCTTGTACAGACCTCCAAACAATAGTTACCCAACTGTCCCTGTTAAATCAGCCTCTTCTCACTAAGCGGGCTTGAAAATTGTTTTTCATAAACAAAACCTTTTTTCTATTAAAAACATTTTGCCTTTGATTTTTAAGTTTCCAGAATACATCTTGTTGTTGAAATGTTACTCATTAGGATTTTTTGAGTTTTAAAAATTCTCTTACTACAGATACTTGAATTGTGAAACTCTGGTCCCATGACAAACCAATTTTAGTACTCAATGCCTGATTGCATAACTCATCATCCCCAGTGTTTATTTTTTCTCTTTTCAATCTCAGAAGAGTAACTCTTTCTTTGCATTTGGTTGAAGGTACAGCTGTTCCCAAAGGAGCTCCCTGATTTGTTCACACTTTCTGAATTCACAAGCAATCTTCTAATCAGTATCTTAAGACATTTTTTACTCTTCTTTAATTTTTCCCTGATTTTATATGATGAGCATGGCTCTTGATGGCAGCATGCACATTATAATCTCAAAACATATTTTTGAGTCAATGGATTTAAAGCATAATTTGATTGTATAGTTGGTGAACGTGGCTCAATTACCTTCACCAGGTGTACAGCTAGTTGATCTTGAGTTATATTTATAAGCTTGTTAAAATTCAAGTAAGGAAACTGAGAAAACTGATTGGCTACCTCCTATGTTTTAGCAAACAGTCTCACTGGATTTCTATCTAACAAACATAGTAAACTTTTAGAATGGTATCAATAAGTACCTACATATAGTTCAAACTTTGAAGTCTGGTGGAGTGGCTAGGTGCTCATTAGTTGCTTACTTGAAATTATTACTTTAATTATAATACTTGCTCAAAGCATTTTGTGCCCAGGTTTTTGTGGTCAGTTTTTCTCTACTACATTTGACTAGAAAATTATGCTCTAATACCTTAAGACATCCATTGTATGTAATGAATTAACTCTGTAATGTATCTAAAATGGTACACATTATATACTATCGTTAGGAGAATTAAGAAAATAGCCACTCAAATAACTTTGGGAATTCTATGGTTCAAAAGAAGAATTCTGTGGTTCAAATGTTAGTTGAGAAAGCCTGGATAGTATTGATATGATTATAGGTTTACTCTCCATGAATCAAAGAAGGAGGAGAGGGCTATCCTATCCTGAGAGTCTACGATATGACAGGGTCAGGGCCAGTCATTTTTCAGGGTCAGTCATATATTCTATCTAATGAATATAATAATTATTCTTTAAGATAGGTATTTCCCTCAAGTTAGAGATAAGAAAAATAAAGCTAAGAGAGGTGAGCAACTTGGTTGAACCAGGTTGAGTAACTAGGTAGAGATAGGATTTAGACCCAGTTCTGCCTTTGGAGCCTAGTTCTACCTCTTTCCACCATGCTATACTGCTACCATGGGCAGTTCCGGCCTTGGCTGTTTCAAAAACGGTTTTAAGTATTAAAGAATTTTTAAACAGGCAAGTTAAGAAATAGGATTCCTTTTCACCTTTATGATCATGATTCAGAGTATAATGTGAAGAATGGCTTAGCAGAGAGACATACTAGAAGCCTCCTACTAGATTAGCTAATGAGGCTAGGGTAATGGAAAGTAACAGTTAAGGATGGAAAGAGAATGATTGAAAAGATACTTAGGCAGTGGTTGATACTTGGCTGTGAGGTGGCCAAGGGGGTAGAGAGAAGGAAAAAAGGAAATTATAAATGACACCAAATTAGCCATTACTCCTTGAATAACTCAGAACTGTATATTTTGTTGATGGTAGGTCAGTGGTGTTATCTTCATAAACTCTGTTCTTGGGTAAAAGTTGAAAAAGAAAGTAATATAAGAGTTTCATTTGCCAGGAAGTGAAGTCTAAGGACAAGAGAAGTATAAAGATTTGAACTGATAGTCACACCTTCCTACTTTGAACATTATGGCAATTCTAGATCTAATAATCATGACAAGAGTTGGCATTGAACTAGCCTAGCCAAAGGTGTAAAGCATTTATCAGACAAAGGAGACTCTAGGTAATCTCTGGTAGGTCAGACCTAGGGGCGGTATGTACTCTTCCCTGGCTGCCTTCCACTGATCAGTTATGGTTCCTGTGGCTCCTGGGATCCTTCCTGAACAATTATGTTTCTCTCCTTTATGCCTGTTTCTGGTGGTCACATGTCCCATTGTCCCCCTATTCCTCCCCCTATGCTCCATTTATGCCCATCCCAGGCTGGCCTACTCTCATGTATTACTTTGATCATCTTTTTATTATCCATGATAAGGAACAAGTTGATAAGCAGTTGGCATTATGAACTGAAGATAGTATGTATTAATATTTTCAAGGATGATCTAGGCATGTAAGAATAAACTAGAAATATCCAATTAATATACCTTCCAATTCTTTTCTTGTTTTCCTCCATTTTTTGATTTGCCACATTTAACAGGAAGTCAATATATTCCTCTGTCACCATCAGTTTTCCCTTATGGCTTAATGGAACTTCTAAGCCATGAGTACTTCGGACAGCCTACAAGGAAAAAACAATTTAGACATGAAGGCTTATATAATAGAGACGCTGAAAATAACTGAAGAAAAGTGCCAGGCAGGGCTGTGTTTGAACACAGTTTAGTTCCATTACAGCATTTAAAGTTTATGTTTTGATATAATTTAACTGGACACAATTGAATCAAAAGAGATTAAATAGATTTTCCCATCACATATAGTCATTTCTAAAGAAAGGCATTCTATACACTGTTTTTCAGAGAAGCAGATAATATCAAAGAATCCAATAACTTTTAACAATTTCAATCTTGCTATAGCTTAGAAAGCTTTAATACACAATTTAAAGAAAATAAATAAATGAAACCTCAACAGAAACCTCAAGGGAAAATCAAAAGAAACTGGATGCCAAAGAGTCCCTTCATGTTGCTTGAGCCAAGTATGGTCATAAGAGTAAACCATGCCCTCCCCCCCTCCCCGCCAATCACACACAGTGGCTGCTTCTCAATGCTTCAGGGTTGACAAACTTAGCAACCCTGTTGATGAAATAGTCAACATGTTCCAAGTAGATCCAACCAAACTGGACAGAGGTTAAGAACAATGAAAACTCTACAAAAACTACTATGAGGAATAAAAATTCATTCAATAAACCTTTACTGAGCATCTGTAATGTTTTAGGCCCCCTGTAAGGTGTAAAGATACAGAATAAATATAACGTGGTCCCTGACTTTAAGAGCTCACACTTCAGAATAAGAAATACACAGGTGAACAAAAAATTACAACACGATATAGGTGTTAGAAGAAACACACATATACAAAATACTAAGAAAATGTGTCAGAAGAACAACTAACTGAGTCTGAAGAGTTTCAATTGGGAAAGGAAGCATTTAAGTTGGGATTTTAAAAGACAAGTGTGAGTTCACCAAACATAAAAACAGGGAGGGGAGCATTCTGGCCAGAGGAATAACTTATCTACAGGCATGGAGACATGAAAGAGCACGATACATTTGGGAAACAACTAATAGTTCTATTTGGCTGGACTATGAGTATGCAAGTGGGAGATGAACATATATGAGTAGATACAGAATAATATGGGATAAAGCCTTGAATATAAGAATATTTGTAGACTCTGATTTTTTAAAGGGGGATTCTGACAGTATTGGTTGGAGGGACTCAAAAAGAAGACCTCCAGCAGGAACCCAGTCAGAAGACAATTGTAAAGACTGAGCTGAGGGAGGATGACAGCTGAAGTCGGGGCAGTGGCAGAGGGTCTGGGGTAGAGGCAGGTATGAGAAGTGAAAGGCAGAAAGACGGGACCTGTAAGAAAGTGAATATGGAAGACAAAGGAGAGGAAGGTGAAAGAATGGCTCTCTTCCCACTTGGGCTACCAGATAGAGTATGGAGTAAGACGGGAGTACAAACCAGCATGACGGGCTTTGACTTTCTATTTGACATGCTTTACAGGTGTCTTCTTTCATAATCCACCTCAATTTGGGAAATAGGCTATTTGTTAAAAATAGAAAATAGGAGAGTTCAGGGAGCTAGAATAGAGGGTAATCTGAAATAGTTCAAAAACATACAATACATGCTATGCCAAACAGTAAAAATACTACAGGAGATCCGAATAGGACATCAATAACTAGGAGTTAGTTTGTCCAGAACTTAGAAAGAATGTGGGACTTATGAAGGGCCTAAAAGATCATTTAGTCCTGGGGTTATCGAATTTTTTCTGTAAAAGGACAGATAAATATTTTTGACTTTGCTGGCCATACAGTATCTGTCACAACTACTCAATTTTGCCATTGTCTCACAAAGGCAACCATAGACAATAATTAATCGAATAAGTGTAGGGGATCTGGTCTAGTGTGGGCTGGACTTGGCTCTAGGACAGTAGTTTGCTGGACCCCTGATATGGCTGAGAAAATTCAGACCCTAAGGGATTTAAGGAGCTTGCCCAAGTTTATACAGCACAGCTGTGATCCAGCCAGCATCATCACAGAGGACTTTAGACTCCCTTTTTGTGACTCTTCCCACTACATCATGGTGCTTATTAAATTGGGCCTTGACTAATTAGGGGGAGGAGGGCACAGAGTCGAGAATCAGGTTAAAAGTAAGTAGGAAAGAGAATTATAAAATAAGACGGCAAATGTAAATCCAAACTCTGGACTTTGCCTTGAAGGAAAGATTAAGTCACTGAAGGTTTTTGAGTAAGGGGATGGCAGGAAGCCTTGAGTAGGGAGACACTAAAGCAGGAGTCTAATTTGAAGTCTAATTAGGTTATTCAATAACTCTAGATCACTTCACACTCAAAGAACTGTTTTTTGCCAAAAGGTATCTTACCAACATAGTCTTTCCTCTCTTTCCCACCGTTATGCCAGAGTTCCTGAAACCGGAATCTACTGCCACCGAATGCTGTAAGAAAATACAACTTACATATTGATACTCTGCTAATCAGATCATCTGTTTAGCTCCACAAACTGCAGAAACATACATAAAGACAAACCTATTAAGGTTTTTGGCTCGCCAACATGGATTACGTTAAAAGGAGCTTTGATCAAATTCCTACTAGAAATACTGAAATATTAACTAAGGAAGTGTCACTGAGAAAGAGTAAAACTAGAATTCAATAATGAACAGAAACATTTGGCAAGTCATTATTTCCATAAAGTAGAATATAACAAAAAAAGTCATTCTGGTAACTATGCTATATGAAAGTAAACAAAACAAACAAAATCTCTTCTTTAAATGAGTGAAATGTTTTTTCTAAATAAGAACAAAGATTATTTCAGTGTCTTTTCTATCTCTAAAAAAAAAAAAACTCTCTTGAAATAATATGAGAAAAGCATATAAAGCACAAACATTCTGATCTTATTGGAGTGACTTTGTTATTTGTTTTATCAGCCTCTAAATGTCAGAGAGCTCTGGGGACCAGATGTGGGTCCCTTTTTTTCTCTAGCTCAGTAGTTCTTAAGCAGGAATAATTTTGAGCCTCAGGAGCCATTTGGCAATGTCTGCGGACATTTTTGATTGTCAGGTTTCACAAGTGGGGGGAAGAGTAGGGGGTACCTCTAGCAAATAATGGGGAGAGGCCAGGGATGCTGCCTAAACATCCTTCAGTGCGCAGGACAGCCCCTGCACAAAGAATTATTTGGCCCAAAATGTCAACAGTGCTGAGGTTAAGAAACCTTGCTCTAAGTACATGCTCTTCTTTTGAGATTCTATCCAGTTCCCTGGTTTAAATACCACATATATGTTGATGAATTCCATTTCCAGTTCAGACCTCTACCCTGAAATTGACTCTATATAAACTGATTCTTTTACAAATCTATTTCTCTCACATCCAGTGCTTCTAATTTCAGTAAATGATACCACCACCCATCCAACTGCCCAAACTTGATGCTTTCTATTCCTTTATCCCTACACCCAGTTCCTATTGATTTTACTTCCAAAATATACCTCAAATTCAACTAGCTCTTGCCATATCCACTACCCACTCTAGTTCAAATCTCTATCACTTTTCTCCTTGACTTCTGGAGGAGTCTCCCAATTAGTCAGCTTTCACTCAGCTTTCACTCTTGCCCCTTCCAAATCATTCTTATAGATCAGCCAGGGAAAGACTCCAAAATCTTAACCATGACTTACAATGTTCTATTTGACCTGGCCCCTGCCTTCTTCAATAACCTCAACTGGCTTCTCTTCTGTTTTTTGAATACTCCAAACCTTTCCTGCATCAATTTTACTTTTACTATTCTTCTGCCTGGATTGCTCTTTCCAAGTCTGGTTTCTTGTCATTCATCTTGTTTCCATTGAATGCTATCTCCTCAAAAGGGCCTGCCCTAATCGCCCTCTTTAAATGCACCCCTCTCCTGACACTCTAGCAGAGTGCCCTGCTTATCTCCTTCACAGCACTTCTCACAATGAGAAATTTTGCTTGTCTACCTACTTATTGTCTGTTTCCCTCCCTTAGAATAAAAAATACTCTCTTTAGGGGAGGGATATTATCTGTGTTTGTCTATGTTTCCCTAATACCTAGCATATTTGCTTGGCACACTCAAAAACAGTTATGAATGAGTTTCTCAGTTTCTCTAATTTCACTGCAATTAGCTCCCTGAAATGTTAAACTTCCATGGAGACTTTGGCCCACAGATGAGCATGGCTGAGCTAAATCAGGATTAGCATGGAGAACAAGACAAGGGTATAGAAATAGGATTTCAGCAGCCTCAGTAATGTGATATGGTATAATGAGAGACTAAAATAAGGTTAGATCAAAGTTCAGGGTTGAAGCAGGGACCAAAGCTGGGAACCACTGAATTCTTAAACACCATGTTTTGAAGGATATCTCTAAATCCTTGTGTTCCTTGGGCCCTCTCCCCTTTCCCTTTTGTACTTTACTCACATGGGATTTAATCTAGGCTCATGGTTTTAAATACTAATTGTGTAATGGTGTCTCCTCAATGTTTATCTTCAGTCCAGAGAGCTCCCCTGAGTTTCAGACTTCTGCCCAATGCCTATATGAAATTTTCATTTAGGTGTTACTATGGACTGAATTGTGTGTACAGGACTTCAAAAGTCACATGCTGACATTCTAAACCCCAATGTCACTATATTTGGAGATGGGGCCTTCAAGGTGGTAATTAAAGTTAAATGAGGTCATAAGGGTAGGACCCTAAAACAACAGGATTGGTGTCCTTATAAGAAGTGGAAGAGACACAGGTGATGTGCATACACAGAGGAAAAGGCATGAGAGGAAACAGGCAGAAGGTGTCTGTCTATAAGCCAAGGACAGAGGCCTCAGGAGAAACCAACCCCGCTGGCACCTAGATCTTGGACTTCCCACCTCCAGAATCAGTAAAAAATAAATTTCTGCTGTTTAAGCCATACAGTTTGTGGTATTTTGTTATGGTAACCCTAGCAGACTAAAACAGGTGTATTAAAGACATTTCACACTTAACATGTGACTCAAATTCTTGATTTCCATCCCTTCAACTTTGGTACTCACCATCTGAGTGACGGATACTACCAGACATCCAGGGTCTCAAGCCAGACCTAAGGAGTTATCCTTAATTTCTTTTTCCCCTCCTACCTTTGGCTGTCCTTCCCCAGTCAACCTTATAAGGTTGATTGAAATGCTAAAATATATTTGAATCTATTCCCTTCTCACCTTCAGTGCAATCACATTAGGCAAAGCCACTACCATTTCCTAGTTAGATCACTGCCAACTACTCCTAACTGATCTTCCACCTACTGCACTCCTGTCACTATGCTGGAACAGAACTGTGTTTTTCAGAGCGCAAACCTATGAAGCTACCCTTTGCTTATAACCATCCCTTCAATACCTTCTCCTTGCACTCAGAAAGCAATCCAAATCTTTATCCTACAAGGCCCTAACTGATCTGGCCCCAGCCTCCCTCTCTCACCTTTTCTCTTTCCACTCTTCACTCTAGATCAGTGGTCCATATCTTTTTGGCACCAGGGACCAGCTTCATGGAAGACAATCCTTCCACGGACAGGCAGGGGGTAGGATCCCGGGATGACCCAAGTGCACCATATTCATTGTGCAGTCAATCCTCTCCGCCAATGACAATCTGTACTTGCAGCCGCTCCCCAGCGCCTGCACCACCGCCCCAGTTGCACCCAAATCATCAGGCACCAGACTCTCACACGCAGCATGCAACCTAGATCCCTCGCATGCGCAGTCCACAGTAGGGTCCATGCTTCTATGAGAGTCCAATGCCACTGCTCCTCAGACAGGAGGCGAAGCCCACACAGTGATGCAAACACAGATGAAGCCTTGCTTGCCCGCCCCCCAACAGGCCACCAACTGGCACTGGTCTGCAGCCATGGGTGGGGACCACGGCTATAGATTCCCTGCTCTTCTTTCCATTCTGTGAATACATCAAGTCTCTTTCTTCCATCAGAAACTCTGTATATACTTTTCTATCTGCCTGGAATGTTCATTTTCCCAGTTACACACCCAGCACTTTCTGTTCCTTTAACTTTTAGCTTATGGAAACCTCTTCAGAGAAGTCTGTCGTAAAGTGGGCTACCCTTCACACTATTCTATCAGCCTGTTTTATTCTTTTCTAGAACATTTTGCAACTTGAGGTTATTTTCTTTATTTGCCTGTTCACTTGTTTGTCCTTGCTCTCTCTCAAACCATGAGAGAAACACCAAGATAGTCTCTAATCTTGTTCATCACTGTACCCTAGTATCTGACACTTTGGGACTCAATGCATTTTTATTGAACAAATGCTTATAATGCAATTTAATTTGATATATAAACATATAAAAGGTATACAAATGAACAAGGCAACAGAGAATTAAGACTAAAAAGATGATTAGCTAATACTCATTTAAATGATGAGAAAAATGAAGTATTCTTTAAAACACTTAATTTTACATGTAGTTTCATGGTATTTTTTCTAAAAGCTCAGCAAGAAAAAACAGAATACTCAAGTAAAATTTATAAATAGAAAAGTTAAGAAAGAAAACTGGAACCACAATTTGGGAGTTGTATTTTGCTAATAATACTTATTAGCAAAATACTTACTAGTACTTAGTACTCCTTTTTCCTAATACTAAAAATAAATAGATTGAGTAATCTATTTATTTAAGTAATTAAGTACAAACTAGTTGAATAAACTAATATATCATTAATTTTAATAGGTTGAAAACTTAAAATCAAGTCTACCCACATACCTATAAATTCAGGTATAATTACAAAATTTTACCAGTATTTGTGCATCCTGCAACTGTCGACACTGCACATGAAGAACAAATGGTTCAAATTTCAAAACTGCATCACCATTTGCTTTCTTCAGAGCCACGATCTAAATAAACAAAGTGATAATATCAGATACAACTGTAAGATCCTGTCCTTTGGAGACCCTTTACCACATACATAACTTCAGTTTTTCTTAGAAACTTTCAGACTCTGCAATAACTTTCCCCTCTGCTTTCTTGGCCCTCTTTTCACCCAGAACTTATTAATTTTCTTGTTTTCTTAAAAGACTCCGATTTCCACTTCTCCCATAAACGTTCTATATCATTTTTTCCAACTATAATTGTACCATGAAAAAATTAACTAATACTCTATTTAATTCCATAACAGACTTTTCATTAAGGGATGTGGTATATAAAAACTATACTAGGAGGACTGTTTAAATTCTTTGTCGTTAGACTGAAATAGAGACACGTGTAATGTGACAGAAGGGTCCGAGTGCAGCCTGACATCTTGTTTCCAGGAAGGCTCCTGTCCCGAGCACCAGTGCTTACCAGGAGCCCTGGAAAGCTCAGAAATCACACTGCATGCAAAGAGTTCAAAGCACACCAGAATATTCCTATTCCCTCTGTGTTGGGCACACATTAACTTTCCTTGGAACTGCTTAGCCATGTGTGAGTCCTTGAGCATGTCTCCAGCTTTCTGTATTTCATACCCCATGGAGCAATGGTTGGGGTCCTTCTATTGCAGAACAAAGTGGGGTGCATGCAGCCACACTGCCCTTGTCAGCTGCAGAATGGACCTGAACCATGGGGACTGACACATTACAAAGGGCCGGATCTTGTGTATAGTCTCCCTCCTCTTGCTGTAAATAAACATTACACTACTTGAGCCTAGTGTGCATATTATCTGTTCTTAGCAACCTTGAGTCATGTACTGGTTTCTTCCCTGAATGGCACTTACCTGTCTTTTGACCTTGGCTGAACTCATGTTATATAGTTTATTCTGTAGCAGTCTGACCACCTAGTGAAACGTGTAATATTATGTCTGAGCTAGAATTTATACAAGACAGTTATTATTTCTGTCTGCCCAGCATCCCTGGGCAGCATCCTCCCTCCTTCACACCATCTGATACTGGCAGGACTATTAATCGTGATGCTGTCACTCATCACTCTCCCTATCAGAATATCAGAGGTGCCAAGTGCCTATCTATATTTGATCACAAATATTACCCCATTCCAATGGCAAAAATAATTGACCTAAGAAGGATAGTACCTAAGCCAAGCAGGACAACTCAGAGTCCTTCTCTAGGACTGATGAATGAATCTTCGGAAAAGGAAATCTTTTCCTGCTGGGGTTGCTGGCAGCTATCATTCCTGCCACAAAGAAGATCATCTGTAGCAGAAAATAGGAGCAAACTGCAGAGAGCCAGTACCCAAAGATGGAGTTTGAGCACCTGAATCAGCAATGCCTGATTCTAGCTCCACCCTGTCCTTTCTAAATGAACTGTCATTTCTGCTTAAGACAGAATTGAATTTCTACATTCACTAGGGAGGAAAAGTCCCTGGCTAATACAAACTTGCATGAATTCCATCTAAATGCTTTAATTTAGGAAACTAAATCGCCCAGCACAGATATGAAGATTTTCAAGAAGCAATCCAGGTAAGTAATGTGTAATTTATTTACATCAGTAAAGCTGGTAACACATAGATAGTGCTAATCCCCTTCTCCTTTTATAATTTGTTCCAGGTTACAGGGTTATCAAATGCAGAATTGAAATTCAAAATTTGGATCCAGTATGTGCCCAACGTCCATGAACTTTCTGCTATGTCCAAGAAGATGTGTTTTGTTGAGCAGCAGTAAGTAATGTTTATATACATATTTATATTTCCACACTTTTATCTCCTACAACCCAAAAAGCCACAGTAATGAAAACTCTCTAGGTTTTATAATCTTCAGCCATTTTAATTATTCATATAAATCACCTTGAATTTTCTGTTCTTTTCATATGTGCTGAAAGTAACTGTGAATTTAAAAGTTTATTTCTAAATTTATATATAAAAACTTACCACATCATCTTTTACACAAGGTTTGTGTGTAACCAGTAGCCAGCAACAGTTTTGTTTCTGAACCTCAAAACCATTTATACCCTAAAATAACAAATAACATAATTCAATCATATAATATTTACAAAAATAATATGTAAATGTACAGCATATTGTGGGCTTTCTTTAGTAATATCAAAGTGTGATTTTAAGTATTACTGAAAACAATTCAATGTTTTCGGGTAAAGTTAACCCAAAACAAAAATGAATCCAAGTAACTTGAGATAGAAAACAAATGGTGTGAAAGGTAAAGGTACTTAAATATTTTCTGAAATATGGTCATGATTTTGTGAGAAGGGATTACTATAAGTGGTAATAGTAGCAGCACTGAAGTTGTTCTCTAGCAGTTTTATTTGGCTAGCACATTATTAAAAAAAAAATTCTAATTTCTTTTGTAGGACAGCACTTCCCCAATCCCACACAAGATCTACTCTTTATTGCTACCTGTGTTCTTTACTCCTTTAAAATAATACCTCTCTCTTCCCTATGGGCATAAATTTGTGACCTCTGGATAAGACTTTATGCAGTCCTAAAGGGTGGAGTGAGGACTAAAAAATCAAAGTTTCAAGAAAGCAAACATTTTAACATTGACTTAAACTGGACAAGTGTTGATTTGCAAAGTTTGATTAAGTACTTTGGGTATACACAGAGTACCATCAAGGACACTGGAAATAGGATGCAGGAAACCACATGGACAGAAATCACTATACTTCTATAAAGTAATCATTTATACAGTGGGTCCAAAGGAGACTCTGCTGTCTTGCTTTAAAGCCAGGAAAAGCTGTGCATGTCCTGAATAACTTGTGTTTTTATTATAAGACTTTGAGGACATATATCTGATCTTGGGCTGGCTGCTCTAAATCTCAGAGCCAAATGTGTAGCCCACCTCTAACAAGTTTATGGGATCTAATAATATGGTTTGGGAACTAATGCCATCAATAACTTCATCATATCTATATTCCCTTTCTCCAGATTTTCCCACTTTTTATTTTTTCCTGTGTTGCCTTTTTGTAGGTTGCTCCAAGTCCATACCGAAATTAAGGCAGAGTAAAAATAAATATAAGGTATAAGATAATAAGTACAATGGAAAGTGGTTCAGAGAAAGTCCTAACCCAGTTCAGAAGTAGTCATTACTTCCAAGTGGGTAGTATGTGCTTATGTGCATGGGTTTGTGTTCAGGTGGGAGAGGAGAGCTTGGGGAATCCTGTCTCAGATAGGCAGAGATAGAGGAAACATTTCAGGGTGAAAAAATACATGAGCAAAACCAAGTAAATACAAGATGAAAAAGAGAATAGTTCAGTTTTGGTAACTAGCTAAAGATGAAGAGAAGTATTGCAAAAGAGGGTTGAAAAGTATACTAGAGTAGGGGTTTGGATTTTCTGATGTAGAAAAATGTTTAATGAAAGGTTTCAGCATAGGTAAGTGACAAAAATTTAGAAAGATGAGTCTGTTAACAGTGTGTAACATGGTTTGGAGACAAGAGATTGGTAATTAAGTGACCAATTAGGAAACCGCTGCAAAAATCCAGGTGAGATATGGTAGTGGAAATGGGGCAAGCGAGAGTGTGTGGGCAAAGGTGCCAGTATTCAGAGGGTAATGTAAGCAATAACAAAATGAACAGGCCCTGCAAATGATCAGTCGATAATGGACTTAAACAACGATCCTAGGAATGTGCTGTCTTTCCATGCTCTGAATCCAATACTATTACTAAAATCAATACTCAGCCAACATTTAGAGCACACTTAACATGGGCCATTTAACACTAACGATGTTAAATGTTTCAAATAAATTATCCCATTTCATCCACACAAAATCTTTATGAAGCAGATACTCTTTATTATCCTCAGTTCATGGAACAGGAAGGGGCTGAGTTTAGATAACTATCCTAAGTTCACATAACCAATAATGCTGATAACTGATTTTAAACCTAGTAGTATTACTCCAAAGTCTGAGGGCTTGACCATGATATCATCATACTAGAGTAGCCCCCCTTGTGCTCATGGGATATGGTCCAAGACCCCCCAGTGGACACTTGAAACTTTGGATGTACTAATTTCTTTTTCCTTCTTCACAATTTCATGTATAGAAGATTCGTTCTTACTGTATATCTTAGCAACCTCAGCACATAATTTCTTTGTGTTTCCTTATTAAGTCAAGAACTTTCACCTTTTCATTTAAAGGAATCACTATATGGGTTCTCTTTGTCATACTCGAATTGCCAGCTTACTACTCTTGCAATTTGGGGCTATTATTTGGTAAAATAAAGGTTACTTGAACCCAAATACTGTGATACCTTGACAGTAGGTCTGACATCTGACATGGCTACTAAGTGACAAAGGGGTAGAGGGAGTGTAGACAGCCTGGATACTCAAGACAAACAGATGATTCATGTCCAGGGCCAGAAGGAGCAGGATAGCACTAGATTTTATCACGTTACTCAGAATGTTGCATAATTTAAAACTTATGAATTATTTCTGGAACTTCCCATATAACATTTTCATACTGCTGTTTGTTTGACCTTGGGTAACTGAAACTAGGAAAAAAGGGGTACTGCTTGTACGGATGCTCCTCAACTTATGATGGGGCCACATGCAGACAAATTCATCGTAAGTCGAAAATACCATCTCAAAATGCACTTATTACCCCGATAAACCCATCAAAAAGTTGAAAAATCATAAGCCTAGCCAGCATAGTTACATACTATTGTACTTACCACTATGTAAAAGCTACCAGAGCTGTAATAATGGTGTGGTCCACTAGGAGGCAGTGAACTCCTTAGCACCAGTGATGTTCAATCAAGCAATCACAATGATTTGGTAGACACGCTAGGGTAGAAAATCTTTAACTTCCCTTAGTAGTCGTAAAATCCGATTTTCTAACCCTTGTCACACAAGGTAGTTCTCAGGCCAGCAGTCTCAACATGACGTGGGGACATGTTTGAAATACAAAGTCAGGCCCCACTCTAGACCTGCAGAATCAGAATCTAAACCTTTTTGAATTTTCCCCGGTTGACCGGCCTTTTTAACTTTTTGGAACCCCCGTTTTCTTTCCGCTTTTAATTTTCTTTTTTTTGGAACCGGCCCCCCCCTTGGGGTGGCCAAGTGGGTTTTCTTGGTTCTTGCCTTGGTTGGGCCCCGGGTTTTTAAGTTTTGGACTAGAGGGAGGCGCTGGAAGTGCATAAAGGGGTCTCACCCCGTCTAGGAGGAGGATGCGGCCAGCGCAGGAGCTGGTGGTGAAAAACTGTTCTTGCGCGTTCAGGACCTGCACAAGCTCTACCACATCCTCGTCCACACTGCCCTTCCGGCTTAGGTCCGCTTTGCTCAGACTCTGCGCCTTCCATCTCCCGAACTCTGCGCTGCGATCCACAGATGAGGGATTTAGGGTCTGCATTCTCCACCTTCACGTCAGCCTCGCTTCTCCCTGGGGGCAGCCATGTTGGAGCGGGCGGCGGCCGAAGAGGCCCAAACTTGCTCGTCGTTCCGAGCTCGAGCGATAATCGTGCCCCCTCTTAGGGGCGGGGAGAGGCGCGAGGGCGAGGCGGAGCCTGCTAAAGTTGGAGGCTGCCTAGCTAGCTGGTCGCCTGGGGAATCTTAAGGAGTTCTTGCAAATTTTGCTTCCCGTTCCAAAGCACGGTAAGTGGTTTTAAAAGAGCTCCTTAGTTCGGGCAGCGAATCTCCCCGCCGCTCTTCCAAGTGGAACCGAGCTTGGTGTGGGCTGCACTCCTTTCCTGCCCACAACCGGCGCGTAAGGAGTTCGCTACCGCAGCCGTTGCCCTCTGGAAGCTGCAGTTCCCTTCTGTAAAACACCTGGAGAATTTCACCTGTTGGTCCTCGGCTCCTAGTCCTGGTTTCCAGTGGGATCTGCGCTTGGGCCCGTGGGCACCCCCCGCCCGCCACCCGCTAGGTTTTCCCCGCGGCCAGCGCTCCAGACACTGCCGGGCCTGTCCACGGCCCAGCTGAGGGAGATTTCTCCCCTTAGGTTCCTGCACCTGCAGGTGTCTCAGACTCTTTCCGCCCGGCCTTCCTCCAGGTTCGCCATCACGGTAGTAGTCTTATTTTTGGAGAGAAATGTATAGTTTTGTTGACCCTGTGGCCCCCAATCTAGAAAATGAAAAAAAAAAAAAAAAAAAAACAACAACCAAAAATTACAAAAGACCCTGTTAACATATCAGTGGGTGTTTACAGAGTTTCTAGAGGAGACTCAGTTACTAAGGCTAAAGTTTGGACAACTTGTCCACAGCTAAGGGAAAATGAATGTGCACTGAGATTCAGACCAGGGAAGTAACCTGACAAGGCCACACAGGCAGGAAAAGGCTTCTCTTTGCCCACTTATACATTTTTTTCTTTTTTTGCATACCCAGGTTAATAAGAATAAACCATATGCTTACATGAGTCATTCTTGATTAACAGCAGCACATTTTGTAATGATTGATTCTCTTGCCAAGTTTTCATTAAAAGATTTTGTTTTTGCCAGAAATTCTTAATTAATTTTGCTTATGCTCTTATAATGTGCTTTTGCCCTGGCTCTGTGAATTGATCCGTTCATTCTATGTTAAAATATACTTCTAACATTTTCTCCATCCCTTTAATTTTCATTTAAATCAAATGGACTCAGGCATACCCTGGGAAAGAGATAGATGACCGAGGAAGAATTTTAGATTTTGTATTTCTTGGATTTATAAAGTATAGTTTATAATATTTCGCCAGTATTTCAGAGATAAAAGGTAAAACCAAAAATTAACCCAACATACTCTAAATAATTTTTAAAAGTTTTATATATGATATAAACGTTTTAAGGTAGAAAGGCTTGTTTAAAGCACAGTTTAATTAAAACATACAAGCAATGGACAGGCCTACCTTGTCCTTTGTGAGACCACAAATGATTTAGTCTGAATATCATTGAGCTTACTGTTATAATAGGCTTGCTGTGAAGGACTCTGCCTCTGTTGTTGCAGCTAATCTCCAGAAGGATCCTATGCTAGGGAGTGCCATCCCCATTTTATAGATAAGAAAAGTATTAATTTTCCATCCAAGTTGCTACAAAAGAAAAAAGAAAAGAAAAGTATTTTCCTAATAGAATCATGTTCTTCTTTGTACTTCTACTACATTCTTTGACTTATGGGCATTTGAGAAATTTCAAACTCTTAGCAGATGCTTTTATCATAAAATATATGATTCTACCTGCAGGTTAGTTCGATTTTACATTTCTAGCCCAATCTGTCTCACTGTCATTATTATAAAGTTTATTTCTAAGAAAGTAAGGGTTCTCTCTGCCAGCATTTCGAAGGATGAAATAAAAAGGATTGTGCAGTAAATTTAAACATTTTTTTAAAAAAAATCAACTAACAACATTGAAGTATATGATCTGGGCTCTAGCTTAGCTTCTGTGTGACCCTTAATTGCATGTGATGTTTTAAGATGGATGGTAATTTTATTTTTTACTTCTGCATAAAATAACAGTTTTAATAACTGTTGCTTTTTACTTGGTGTGAAAGTGAAGGTGAAAGACTCATGGTTTTTAGAAGAAATCAGGTATTACAGGGGTTTAAGAATTATATATATATATATTTATTTTTTTTTTGAGACAGAGTCTCACTTTGTTGCTCAGGCTAGAGTGAGTGCCGTGGCGTCAGCCTAGCTCACAGCAACCTCAAACTCCTGGGCTCAAGCAATCCTGCTGCCTCAGCCTCCCAGGAAGCTGGGACTAAAGGCATGCACCACTATGCCCGGCTAATTTTTTTCTATATATATTAGTTGGCCAATTAATTTCTTTCTATTTATAGTAGAGACGAGGTCTCGCTCTTGCTCAGGCTGGTCTCGAACTCCTGACCTCGATCAATCCGCCTCCGCCTCCCAGAGTGCTAGGATTACAGGCGTGAGCCACCACGCCAGGCCTAAGAATTATCTTAATTGCTATTAGTATGCCACATTATTTTATTCTTTTTATAATTCCCTTTGACATAGCACTTGTGTTGTGAAACAGATGATGATCCTGTGGGTAGTTGAGTTCAAAGGTCATAAGTGCAGATTGGAGCCTTATCAATCAGAATGGGAAAGCTCAGTGGGAAATAAGATCAACAGCATCAAAGTAGAAGATAGTGCTGTCAAGGTCATGCCCCTTCTCTTTACCAGTTGGGTAGTAAAATGTGGTAGAACTGGGTAAGGCAAGTGGTCTTCCAAATCCAGTATTAAAGTTGAGACTCCTTCATTCTCCCAACTTAGTCAATGCCAAGCTGTAGGGGAAAAATATATGTGTTAGATATAGGATACAGGATACAGATCCTATTTTAGAATAATTTTGCTTTTATTATTGCTCCAGTTTTTTGAAGATTATAGTGATGTCTATTGGTGGAAAGATAGGTGCCAGTGTTTGAAAGAAAGAAATAAGTAGGAAATAAGTAGATATTGAAAATGGAAAAAGAGCTAAACATCTTACACTGTGTGTGTGTGAGAGTGAGAACTGGGGGTGGGAGGGGTGGGGAATTTTTTCTTTGCCCTTTATGTACTCTGGGTTTGGCCCAGTGCCTCAGATACAGTTAATGTTCAGAAAATACATATTGAATGAATAACAACCAATGTTTGGTGTTAATGTTTTGTTTAAATGATTATCTGGACTGATTTCTTTCAGGGTTATAGAAGATGGTTATAGAATTATAGAATGAAATATATTTTTATGAATAAGAAATTGAAAAGAAGAACAGAAGGGAAGAAATAATGCTGTCTACTACATACAGTTGCCAAGTTCTGTGCTTAATGTTTGCCGTGCCTCCAGTAACTCTGAGTGAGAGCCCAGTTGTCAGATGAGGAAACAGGCTCTAAAATTGACTGCCTTGCCCAAGATTATGTGATAGAGCTGGTATTCATAGCTAGAGCTGTCATACTCCAAAGCCCACACTCTTTCCATAACACCATGGTGAAAACAAACAGGAAAAAAGCAAAAAGCTGTGTTCTTATTTCCACCATGGAAACCTCTGATCTGGGCAACTTTTTCTTTTTCAATTTTCTTTATACTTGTACTTTCTCGTCTAAGAAATTCCCAGCTTGGGTAAAGACCTGAATAGAAGTACAGTGCTGGATAGGACTGGGCTGCCTTTTCCTGGTCTGTCACTCTGACAGACAGATCATCTCCCCCTCAGAGACTGCCTACCTGTTGGTTTATGCCCTCACCTGCTTCTGCCCCCTTTTGTTTTCCTGAGCACCACCCTTCTGGATGTATCATTGCTAAAACAACCTTTGGAATTGTCACTTTCTTCTTTGTGCTAGGCACTGTATTCAATCATTTTAATGTTAAGAGTTTTAAAATGACATAAACTTTTGATTAATTATATCAAGAACTTTCCATTGATAACACTACCCAAATGCTTTTGATTTCTCCCCTGTAAATTGAATGACATTTTATAGCTGGTATGGGCTGTGTTCTGGGTAGTCCTGTGCTAAGCTCTGATACAGTAAAAGCTTGAATTCTTTTATCTCCAGTGCTGATTTCTGAAACTCTTTATGTTTAAAGTGCTCATGGTTGAGGAAGATGTTTTACATGGTGGCAATGTAACGATATTTGATTTGGTTAATTTCAATAAATTATAGTAACTTACAAATAAAATTATGGGGATATAGTCAAAACCCTCTCATTAAATATTTACAGGTACAAAAGCCTTTCCAAAGTTGTATAATTTTATATACAAATGTTCTTTGCCCTTTTTTAGAGTTTATTTTAACTCTTGGGTTTTCTCTTCAGTTTAATATTAACCGTGGTAGGACAGAAAGTCTAACTGAGCCCTTCTAATTGATAAAAGATTGCATACTGAGCAGTGTTTTCAGTTTTTAATGTTGTTCTCCTTTTATTAAAATGAATGAACTGCATAAAGCCAAGTGTTTCAACATCGATAAGTCCAAAACTTAATGCTGAAAGGAAAAAGCAAATTACAGAATTAAGTACAGTATAATCCAACGTAAATAAAGTTTGAACGTATACAAAACAATAGCACATATTGTTTACTGATGTGTACACATGTAGTAGTGATATAAAATGCTTGGGAATGATGAACACTGCATTTGTGGTTATAGTCACCTCTTAAAAGGGTGGGCCAGAAATGAGTTTGGGCATGGGTGGAAGAGGCTTCAATTAAATCTAGAAAGTTTTAGATTTTTATAGTGTTAAGATTTATTAAAACTATGTGTCAGGTAAATATGTTTATATTTCTCTATACTTGGAATATGTTTGGAATATTTCATAATCTAACAAAAGGAGATCTTTTCATCTAATGTTAGTAAAAATTAGCTTCTAAAATTTCCAAGATGTTGCAACCCAAGCTTACACAAAAGAAAACCTTAGATACGGTACCATGCTATGTCTGTCCAGATGTTTTTGTTTCCATGTTTGATTCCCTTGTTGAAGGCACTGAATCCCTATAGGATGTAGTTTGAAGTATGAAAGGTCCTTAAACATGAAATGCAGTCAGTAGTAAGCTCATTATTTAAATTGTTATTTGAAAAATTATTTGATCTGCTTCCTCCAGGAGTAAAAACATACTAATAGCCTGGATATATGACAATACATTACTTTTTTTTTTTTTCTTAGTTTCTAGATCACCGTGATGACTCCACAGAAGTTGATGAGAGCTGTTAGAGTTTTTCAATTTGGTGGACCAGAAGTGCTGAAACTCCAGTCAGATGTTGCAGTACCCATTCCAAAAGACTCTGAGGTGGAAATAATTTACTTTACTTAGGCCATAATTACACCGAGAGTGAGTCTTTCACACATCATTAATGTTCCAAATAAATAGACTCACAATGATTTTTAAAGACATTGAATTAGGGCAAAATTTACAGTATTTATTTGTATGAATTATGACAAATAACATAAATCTGATAATTAGTGAAGTAGACATATGAAAAGCAATACCCTCTGGTTATAAGGAAATTTTTGAAGTAGAGAATCATCTATGTAGTGCAATAATTGGATTTTTCTGAATGGAGTCATAGTCATTTTTAATAAGTTACTCTATTATAAACTTTCAGGATTTTTATTTTGTGCATGGTGGGAAAGCAAATTTCTGCATTCATACTTTTTTATGTATGAGAATTTAAGTATAGAGTTTAATCATCTCCAATAACTTTAACAATATACTTTTGATTTAAAATTATGCATTTTTATTTACTGTACCTTCTATGGCTCCCAAGTCTAATTTCCTTAGCAAGCATTATGAGAGTTTTTACAATTTGGCTATAACCTATCTTTACAGATTTATTTCTTATCACTTCTTCTCAGTATAGAGATATAGTGCTGTAAAAACATCAAACCTTATCCATTTTTCCCCAAGAGGCCCTTTCATTCCTCTGTCTTTGTACATACTATTTCTTTTACCTGAAATATCCCTTTTCTCCCATTCCTAAAGAATTATTACTCATCTTTTAAAGCCTAGCTCCAATACCACTTGTAAGGCCTTCCCTTACTCTTGTACCAGAGGTAATCATTGTGTATTAATTAAGATAAAGTCAGCACCAGTAATAGATGTAACCTTAAAATCACAATGCTTCAACAATAGAAAATTATTTCTCATTCACTAAATTCAAAACTTCTAAAATGTTGGTAGGTAGCTGTCCTTCAGCAGTGACTTAGCCATGCATCATGTGGCTCTACTACCCTCAACCCCTGTCTTCCAAGGTCTCCATGAAAGAGGAAAAGCACGGTGTGGATTTCCTAGGAAGGTTTCTATGGGCCAGGCCTGCAAGTGGCTGCCATCACTTTTGCTCACATTCCATGGCTAGAACTCAGTTATTTGGCTACTCCTAACTATGAAGGAGGCCAGGAGATACTTCTCTTCCTGTGTACCCAGGAGGAGGAGGAAGTGGGTTTGATAAACACACAGAGGTCTCTGTCACATGTCCCTTAAGTATTTCTTCCACTATTTTCCCAGAATGTTTTTAATATAGCACATAAGCCATTCTGTCTTATTTATGTAGATATTGGTTTGCAAAACTACAGTGTGAGCTTGTTGAAGGCAAGGACTTATTTGTTTTGTTTTTTCTCCATTTTCATAGCTCCCATAATCGGCACCCTACTGGCACTGAACGATTGCCTAACTGCTCTGTGCGAACTAAAATACGTTGTCATCACAGGTTCTAATCAAGGTCCATGCGTGTGGTGTCAACCCCGTGGAGACATACATTCGCTCTGGTACTTACAGTAGAAAACCAGCCTTACCCTATACTCCTGGCTCAGATGTGGCTGGAGTGATAGAAGCTGTTGGAGATAATGTATCTGCTTTCAAGGTATTACATTTTTATTTATTTCTATTTCGGCTTAATATTTTACTTGAAATATTTGAACATAGCTTTAAAATGTCTCTGTATTTAAGGTTTTAAAGGGACCTACTACACAGTTTCTACCACTTGGGGGACTCCTCTAGTCAAAAAAGAAATTACTTTTTTCCAGAGGCCTTATTTGTTTGCATCGTTGGGAAGAGATGCTGGGTAATTTTTGTGTCTTCATGTCCCCACAGAATGAACTGTGATCTTTTTGATTTAATAGAACCATATATGGTAAGAAAACAAACAAATTATACTACTTCCTAACTCTTGATAATATATTAGCCAACATAATTTTTAATTCCTTTTATTAATTTAGCTTCATAAAATAAAGGGGAAATTAATCCTTTTGAGGCATAAGTAAAATATGAAAAAAATGCAAGGTCACTTACAGTTTCGGAGCTCTGACTCAGACCAAGGTCAATGAAAGTGTTATGATCAGGGCTTTTGTTATCTATATGCCAAGAGACATAAAACACACAGTATATTCATAGTATGCTCATGTCCTAGCATCTTTCCTCATAATAACTTGACCTGCTCAACTTTGGCAGCGCACTTGCCAAAAGTGGGTTCAGTCAGAGAAGATTAACGTGCCCCTGTGAAGGAAGATGGGCAGATTCATACGGCTTTCCACTCCTCAGCCTGTGGCAACCTGGCTTCTGCCCCCAATCTCTCCACTGAAAGGATTCTTGCTAATGTCACTAATGGCCTCTATACTGCTGGAGTTAATGGGCCCTTTTATGTCATTATCTTTCTTGACTTCTCTGTGACATTTGACACTCTCAGCCACTTAACTTTTTCTTAAAAGAAAAAACAACTTTTTCTTCAGCTTCTGTGACATCTTCTCCCCTTCCTCTCTGGGCATCGGGTTTCAACACTCTTTTCCTGTGGATGTTCCTCAAGTGTTGGTGTCACTCAGGGCTCTTAGTCCCTAGTTAGACCTCTGCTTTCTATACTCTGTACCCTTTTCATGCACTCCCTTAGTTTCCATCATCACATGTGCTAGCTTAGAATTTTCCGCCAAGCTCTGGATCTGTGATAGCCAAAACAGTAGTCTCTGGCCACATGTGGCAATTTAAAATTTAAATTAACTTAAATTTAAATTGAAAATTTAGTTCCTGAGTTGCAATCACAATATTTGCCTCGTTGCCCCCTGCCTCTAGTGGCTGCCCTGCTGGACAGAACATTTGCATTATCACAGAGAGTTCTGTGGAAGAGCACTAGACCCACATGGTCAACCTCCAGGAACCTCTTAGTCAGTGTGTCTAAAACTGAGCTTATCCCTTCTTGCTGTAGACCCATTTCTCTCTTGTGTGACTGTTTTGGTGACTTGGGTTTGAGGCTTATCTCCTCACTCTCCCTTACTAGAACTGTTTTCTTTCTCCTCTTTCCATAACCACTGGTAGTTTAGTTAGGGTGATCTTACCTACTTGACTTAACTATTAATACACCCCTGACCTGGATTTCTATAATAGATATGTTAGGTTTTCTTCTGAAACTTGTCAGTTCTTGGTGCATTCATGGCTGAAGAAAGACCAGACACACTGAAGTTAGGCAACCACGAAATGAGGTTTATTGAGGAGAGAAAGATAGGATTATGGGGCAAGAGCAAGATATAGGTTTATAGAGCATGGTACATATACCACAGATGACAACTGGACCCATTTGTCACAGCAGGGCAAGCAAAAGGAAGGGCAAGGAGAGAGAACTGGGATATGGTCTGCATCTTATAGTGCCTGGATAGGGAACCCCGTTGTGGTTCAGAGGTCACCATGGAACTACTTTAATTGGACAATTGGGAGTCACATGACCTGAGCCACATGTGGGTTCTAGGTCACTTTCCAGACTTTATGGTACCTATGCTGCTTGGCCTGTGGACTAGAGAGTCCTCTGCATGCCTTTGCAGCTGGCACGCCAAGTTCTGATTGGCAGATTCGTAGCGTAGTCCCTCCTCCCCCAGGTAGGGAGAATTAGGGTGGGGCAGGACCAAGATGGGGGTGACAGCATCCACTTTTGTCCCCAGGAGACCCGGAATCCCTCACTATCTACCTAACAGATACTTAACTTACTACCCTCTTTCCTTACCCCTGGAATCCATCCTTACTTTAGAATCATTTTCTAGAATGTAATTCTGACTGTTTTACACTTCTGTTTTAATTCTTATATTAGTTCCTTGTAGCTTTCATGGAAACCTTTCAAATTCCTTATTGTTATGAAAGAATATTTCATACTCTCTCCTGACTGTCTTTCCATTTTTATCTTCTGCTCCTTCTCACCTTGCAGTTTTTCTTTAGGAATGAACTGTTTGTCTTTCCTTGCACATCCCATGCTCTCTCTTATCTCTGTCTTTGTTCATAGTGGTTCATCTGCTTGGTAGAATTAACCTGAAGCTCTTAAACATGGATTCAAGGAATTTCACACTTCAGCTTTGATTTATTTCCATTTTGTCTCCTGAAACTATTACATACCATACATTAGACTACTTATTCATTGCATTTCAAATAAATGCTGATAATTTCTCAGCATTTATTCCTGCCCTTATTCCTTTGCTGACCTTGTTTCCTTCACCCAGTTCTAGTTTTTCAAAATCCTGTGCTATCCTTCAAGACCTACTTCAAATACAAGCTTCCCAATGAAGCTATCTTAATTTACTCAACTCAGAAGTAATTCCTTTCTTTTTCTTGTACCTGTCTTTGATGGCTCACCCTGTTTGCGTTGCTTTATAATTATTTCTGTCCTTTTCTTCTCTCTCCTAAAGTTTAGGATGCTTGAAATTAAAGACAGTGTCTTGCTATTAATCTTCCTCACAGAACTCAAAGTAATTCTTTCCATATAGTGGATTCTTAGTAAATGTTTGAGTTATATTGAAATCAATTCAACATATTCTTTAAATTGTAAAAACAAGATTAATCTTAACCTAGTCATATTTGACCTTTTGTAGGCAACACTATGAAGTGGTGATGCTTGTCTTTGACTCTTAGATGTCTTTTGAAATCTTTTTTGTCTCTATCCTACTGCACAGTGCTGTTACATTTTGAGATTTCTTTATTATAGGACTAATTAAAATACACTAAGCAGTCATTGCCTTAATATTTTGCCTATTCCAGGGAATATTTACTTATTTTCAAGAATAAGTTAGGGCAGGCAGTTGCAATGGGCAGTCTAGTTTTCCCTAGCATGCAAATCATGCATTAGACCTAAGATGCCTGGCAAGTGTATACCTCAACCTCAGTCATGCATCTGATTCTCAGTAGCCACAGTCTAGTAGACATTTCGTGAGAGTTTAATGTGTTCCTGGTGCTGCCATCTTTGAGGAAGCCTGTCCTGGCGTATCCCGCCGCCGTCAGGATCCTGGCCTGGGTTCTTACTTTTGGGTGTGTACGTGAAAAATGCCGACAATGCAGGGGTGGGGAAATCCATAGAAAGGATTTACAAACAGGTGTTTGGTATGTGGAGGAAACATTTTATTTGTCCTCCCTAGTATTGGGGGCAAAAAGTAATAGTTTGTATTGAGTGCCATTTACTGACTGCTTCATCCTAGAAAATTACTGAACTTTTTTGTCCCTCAATTTCCTCATCTGTGTAGTGGGATTAATCTAAAGTGTAGATAATAAAAGTGCCCCTCTCATATGCTGTTGTGTAGACCAAATTAGATAATACTCTAGAGATATTTAATGCAGTGCCTGGCATAGTAAGCTATCAATAAAAGTGAGTTATCAGCATTATTATTATGCCATCTGGAGGGTTCTCTTATTTTTCCTGTTTAATTTTTCTTACCATTGATTCCCATTAATAAAACATCTAAAAATGTTCAGTATTTTAAAATTATTTTTATGAGACCCTAAGATGTAGAATGTAGTATGTAAATGCTTATTTCTTATTATAAAGGTTGCGTTGGAAAGGATTGCACCGATTTTGATGTAATTTTTAAGCCCCTATGCATTTATTAATTTATCTCTTCCTCTAGAAAGGTGACAGAGTTTTCACTACCGGCACGATCTCTGGGGGCTATGCAGAGTATGCTCTTGCAGCAGATCACACAGTTTACAAACTGCCTGAAAAACTGGACTTTAAACAAGGAGCTGCCATCGGTATCCCATATTTTAGTGCTTATCGAGCTCTGATCCACAGGTAAAATAACACATTCTGTCAGGTTTATAGCCAACACCAAAGAAGGTCTTAATTGCCTTCCTCTCTGCCATCATCCATTCATCTGTCTGTTATTTTTGGTTACTGGTTACTTACCATTAAACATTTATGAAGTGGAAACTGTGCTAATTTGGAGGATCATAGTAATCACTTAGGGTACAAAGAAAAGCAAACACTGTCTTCAAGATGCTCCCAGTCTGTTAAGGGAAATAGAAATAGGAGTAATAATATTTACAGAGTATGTGGAAAGTACAGTGGCAGAGATATGCATAGGAATTTATGGGATCACAAGGGTTGTACCTGTGGTGATCAGGTATAAGACCTGGATTGTTCTAAAGCCATGGTTCAAAAATCTTATTACCCGTTAGAATCATCTGGGCAGCAAGTTAAAAGTACAATGTGAGGTCCTGCTCCCAGGCCCACTGGCATATGACATCATGACTGGCATCTGACAATCTATAATTGTATTTTAGTCAAATCCACAAAGCATTTCAAAAGGATTAGAGGGAATTCCCCTGGGGAAGGATACCTGGGAGGGGAGAGGACATTCTAGATAATGGGAAGCGCATGGCATATGGGGAAAAACAGCATGGTGTGTGGGGATTGTTATAGCAATTTGGTTTTGTTGGATAGAAGATTTTGTGGCAAAGAACAAGGTTGGACCATAGTAATCTCTTAATAAATGTTAGCTGTCATCATCAAATAGGTAGGATTAAGGTTGTACAAAGCTAGATTATAGAGCTCACGCATTGTAAGGGGTTGGGGATCATGAAATATATTTTTCAGAAGAGTGCTATTGTCACATTTGTGTTTTATTGAGATCACTTATCTGCTGTGTGAAGAGTAGATTTGAGGACAGGAATGGGGAGAGAGAGAGGAGCGTCTTAGAGCAGTCTCTGGTAGATAAAACACTCATGGGCCAGAGCAAGGGTCATAATAGCAGAGGTGGAGAAGAAAGGTCAGCCGTTAATATTTAGTGTGAGTAAAGTGGGGAGTATTTGGTGATTGTTTGTAGGTAGAGACTGAGTGAGGAGAGTTTGAGAGTACTTATGGCTTTCTAGCTTGAGTCCTGTTTAACTATGACAAAGAGAAGGGGGAGAGAGTTTCAAAGGGAAGCTGTATTTAGTTTTGGACTAGAAATTGTGAGAAAGAAGTCTAGTAGCCTGCTGGATAAAAGAATCTGAAGCTTGAAGGCCAGAGATATAAGTTTGGGGATATCAGCATGTAGGTGAGAGTTTACAAGATGAGAAGTGATTGAAATCCCTGTGGGAGTGAGAAGAGTGCTGAAATGAGAATAGAACCCTAGTGAACATCAGCATTTAAGAGTGTAGTCAGAGGAAGGGGATGAAGTCCTAAGAGAACCAGAGGAGTGGATCCCAAGGTCAGGAGTGTCTAGAGGTTATGGTATCCATTAAGGTCCATTAAGTGTGTGGGCTTTGAAAACAGAAAGACCTGGGCTACACTAATGTCTTCACCTAGTACTAGCCATATGACCTTGGTCAAGTTACTTCTCCATCTTAGCTGCAGTTTACTGATTTGAAAACCTTAGATAATAACAGCACCCACCTCCTAAGGGTGTGGTAAGAATTACGTGAGGCACTGTTTATAAAGTTCTTAGTATGGCAGAGGCACAGAGTACGTGTTCAATCAGTGGAGGTAGTGTTAGGAGAAGTGGTGGATATTGGTACTAAGGAGGGAGGCCAGTTGTCAAATGCAGAAGTAAAGTCCGTTCAGAAAAAATAACAGTTGGGATTAGCAATTACTAGATCATTGGTGACTTTATTCAGCTCCTTTTCAGTAGGGTGGTGGGACAGAGGCTTAATTGAGCAGATTGTGAAAGGAACAGGAAATCAGTTCCTTGAATGGAGACTACTCTTTTAAAAAATGGAGGAGACAGGAAGGAGAGAGTAGAAGGTTACTTGAGAAGAGTATGGGGGGAAAAAAGGAGTTTTTAAGGATAGATAAGACTTGGACATGTTTGTAGCTAAGAAAGGATCTAGCAGAGAGGGAGGAGTGGCAGGTAAAACAGGATCCTTCATAAGGCAAGATGGAAAGGATTTAGGACGTGAATTATGGTTGGCTTCCGGTATCTAAAGGACAGCTCATCCATAAAACCTAGAAGGGATAAAGATGGCATAATTACAAAGTCTGTGGGTACGGAGGTGGCATATTGAGGGAGCTTTTATGTGATTACTTCACTTTTCATAATTAAGTAGGAGGCAAAGTGATCTTTCAATTATCAGAATTGAAATGACTTTAAAATGAATGGTCCTGTGATTTTCTTCTATAGTATTTAGCCACTTGGATAAAATATCAAAGAAGGTAGATTTTAACATTAATCCAGGGCCGGAATATTGATGGCAAAATGGAATCATTCAGAAGAAATGAGAGCACTGAAGAGAGAGAGTACAAATGGACAGAAATGGAACAGTTTGTGATGTTGAAAGGTTTTAAGAGAATATGGGTTTACAGATTTAGGATAGGAAATTACTGTCATAAATATTGGTTATTGGTGTCTGATATTTCTCAGGTGGAATGGTTGCTGATGTTTTGTACCAAATCTAGCCTTGGGAGAGAGTGACTAGAGTGGAGGAGAATCCAGAAATTGTGATGTGATGCAAGATTTTCTTCCTGGCAAATGTTGAATCTCCTAGATTGGAGCTGGATTTGGGGTGGAAGAGAAAGCCTGTGTGCCAGGTACTAGAGTTTTCAGTGACTAGGAGACAGTAGGATACAGCTGAGCCCCTGCTGTGACCCCCAGAGGAAGATGACTGTGTTAGTCAGGGTTCTCCAGAGAAATAGAACCAACAGCCTGTGTTCCTGTGTGTGTGTGTGTGTGTGTGTGTGTGTGTGTGTGTGTGTGTGTGTACACACCTGTATAGATAGATTCCTTTAAATCAGTCAACCAATCTGTGCACACACATGCACACACAGACTGATTGATTTTCAGGAATTGGCTCATGAAACTGTGGAGGCTTGACAAGTCTAAAATCTGATGGGGTAAGTCAGCAGGCTGGAGACACAAGCAGGAGTTGCAGGTAAGCCCAAAGATAGTCTGCTGGCAGAATTGCCTCTTGCTTAGGGGAGGTCAGTCTTTGTTCTGCGCAGGCCTTCAACTGATTGGATGAGGCCCACCCACAGTCTAGAGGGTAATCTGCTTTACTCAAAATCTACCAATTTAAATGTTAATATCATTCAAAAAATACCATCACAGAAATGTCCAGAATGATGTGTGACCAACTATGAGGTATGTTGGCCCATTCTAGTTGACACATAAATTAACCATCATGATGACTCTGTGCAAGGACAGAAGGATTATAGTAGTGGGGATTCAGGCGAGGGTTTGCCTGGAGTTCTTCACTCACCCCAGGCCTGGGGATTTAGGAGAATGTGTTCTTAGTGTTTGAGGGGTTGTTTATAAGACTTTTTTAAAAAAAAATCATCGGGAAATATTTCATGTCTCATAGTTTAACGTTAATAATCCTATTCCCTTAACATTCATATTTTACTTTTTAAAATGTCAAAGTGTTTTGGTAATAGTTATCTCAGTTTATCATTCAAACCCTCAACTTAACTCATTTTCCTCAATCCCCTTAACTCCAAGCAAGTGTTAGAGAGAGAAAGCTTCATTTATTGCTCGCTATTGTCGTGTGTCAGCTGTTGGCACACAGCCATGAGCAGGGCTCCAGGTTACTGTGTTCTTATTGCCGTATTGAATGTAGTGTCTCTGCAGTGCGGCCACGCGGCATGGCCCTAGGAAGTAAGAGAGCCTCCCTGAGAATCAGATTGGGATCACGCAGCATCTGCTGGCTTGTGACATCAGCACTTGTCCATCTGGAATAGCAAAGCACCTCCCATTGTCTTGCTGCATGTTCCTTGTTTTCAGAATATAATAGAAAAGTGGTAGTGTGAACTGGAAGTAAAAAGAATGTGTCATTTCACCAGAGGATTTGGACATTTTGGGGAGTGACATGGGAACCTTTGTGACAGGAGTGATTGTATTTCTTACTCTTCTACCATTGCTGACTCAGCATTCCTTTCTACAATGGGAGCTTAGAAGCTGGTGCAGTGTAATGTTCAAAGGCCCATAGAGAAGTAAAAATATTTTTTTTTTTTTACCCCTGGTAAAATGTAGTCTAGCTGCTGTGTTTGCTTGGGCATTACTCTGGACCACCGAATAAAGACTGAGCTGTAATAAACCTGCTTTGAGACACTTTCTGTGTGAACGAGAGACTCCAGTTCCTCTAGGCTCAGCAGTTTCACTTAACTTACCTGCCAGGACTGCAGCCTCTCAGAAGTAGCACCACGTTGTGATTCCAGCATCCAGCACAGTCCTGGCACACAAAGACTCCCAGTAAACATTTTTTGAAGAGATCAATGAATTTAAGGTTTTCTTTCATCTGAGGCTCTGAAGAGTCATTGTTTGATCCTGTGGAGCTTGGAGAATATTTTGGGCTGTATATCAGGATGTATTTGCTCTTTGGGCAAATGTTAGCTGGAGTAAGGGTAGAAATTCCTTAAAGATAATGAAAAACACTTGAGCTTAAGAAGCTTCAAAAAAATAAGGTGATGGAACCTTTGCTTTCTTTTGCAGTGCCCGTGCAAAAGCTGGAGAAACTGTTCTGGTTCATGGGGCTAGTGGAGGAGTAAGTATTTTTTTAAATTTATTTTTAAGAGAGCTTGGGTTTATGAGTTTCACAGTGTAGTTATTTAAGACATTTTTAAAAGCCAAATTAAATACAATCAATAAAGCCAATACAATAAAGCCAAATAAATACAGTCAAGGGTGCTTTTGTTCCTCTATGTAATAAAACTTTTAAAAATTTGATCTTCTGAAGGTGATTCTTTGTCATTAGCTTAGCATTTCTTGGTGAATGAATTCAATAGAATACCCCATCAAGAATGTATGTACTGGGTTTTCTACCTGTATTGGGTGTGGAATAAGATAAACTGGCCTTTGTTTTTGCCTTCTAGTAGCATATATTATAAGAATATTTATTTAGAATTTTAGACATTTCTTTAAGGTTGATATTAATTCCATATTCCCTTAGATAAGGAAACTAAGGCTCATTAAAGCTTTACCTGTGTTGCCCCAGACAGAACTGCAAAGCCACACTGTGAATTCTCGGTCATTTCTATCTCCCTTCCACTGCTTGCCTGCTGCGCTTTGATGACATTCATAGAGTGCACAGTATACAGCTGTGTCCTTAACACCACAGCCCATGGCTTAAAATGCTAATGGGGTGGGGGTAAGACTCAGAATTTATAAAATAAGCCCTTCAGTGAAATCGCCCAATGCAGGGCTGTCAGAAACCTCTTCAAGAAACTGGCTGCCAATCTGTCTCTGAGGAGCTTAGAGGAAAAGTTAGAGCTCTGCGGTTGGAATTTAACAAGAAATCCACATGACCTCTATCCTGCAAGGAGAGGCTTTAGAAATTTTGGAGACAAGATTTCGAATTTTAAAAATAAAGGGCCTGGGGCTAGATGCTTACCTTGAGGAAGCTGGTTAACCCCTTCAGAGTGCTGTGGAGTAGATTGAAAGAAATAACCTATTATTTGGCACATTATGTCTTGAATAATGAATGATATCCTGAAAATGTGAATTTACCTCTAAGAGTGGCCAGGAAATACAGAGAATTCAGTCCATTTTGTCTCTTTGTTTCTTTAGATAAATGAATCCCCAAGGTTTCATACCTAGCTTCCTACATACTTCAAATAGATAATTCTAAAGGATTTCACAGATCAGACTATTTCAAAACACTAAGATTGTCTTTATGGGGCTTGAGAAAATATGACAGATACCTTGTCTGAAACTCCCTTTGTTTAATTTCACTAGAAAGGCTATTTTTGGGTTAAATTAAATTTAACCCTAAATAACCACAGGGTCGGTCAGACACATGCATTTATTTAAATTGCCCTAGCCTTCAGAGAGCTAACCTTGTGCTCTGTATAGAAGGGAACATTTTTAGTAGGGAGAGGAGAGGAGAGTTTAAAGAAAATCTCTTTGTATTTCTTTTACCCTCTTGTAAAAAGCCTAGTCGCTTCACCATGATTTTTTTTTTAAAGGTAAAATCCACACTGTTCTCTGAGCTGGCTGAGTTTGTTAAATCCTCAGCTGGCAGGGATAGGCTGGCAACCTGGTGTGTGAAGCGCTTCTGATCCTCCCTACCCTATCAGAGGGAAACAGAGTACGGGGCTTTGCCTTGCTTCTGTTTGTACTTTCTGTCCTCATTTAATTCAGATTCCTTTGGGATTATGTTGTGTATTTAAAATGGTGTGGATTTATGAATACAGCTATTATCCAGATATTTTGATGGGAAGTGCCCTATTTTAGCGTTAGCAAAATAAGGACACATAAGAGTCCATAATCTATTGAAGGAGGATTGCTGGTGTAATTGTTGACAAGAATAGAATAAACAGTGCCTTTAAAAGAGGCTGTCCTTTTAAAGTAGTTAGAGCATAAGGAGATATATTTATTTTAATACATTAAATCTTTACTTTAAAATGTGGTTTTATTAGAGGTATGCTTTTTTTAAAAATTTGAAAATTAAAGCAGATAATCAATTATGCTCCCCCCATAGCATGTTGTATTTTATCTAATCGGATGTCTCTGTCCTTCGTCACAATGAATTCCATGTACTTGTTTGTTTGCTTTGGTTAAGGCAGACAAATCCCTGCCATAACTGTACTGAGTTCAGGCTCATCATTATATGTCATGCAATGTTTAAGGTGTGTTTCATGCCTGGGAGTCTGTGATTTTGCTACAATTTTAATTAGTTTCTATCATCATTTTTTCATTTAATTCTTTTCTATCTCACCCAACCCAGTCTTTCTTCTAACTCACAGGTTATCAATAGAGAGTGATTTTGCATCATTCCTCTTTCCCTTCGGGGACATTTGGCAATGTTTAGAGACACTTTGGGGCGTCACAACTGGGAAAGGGCATCTTGTGGGTAGCATCTTGTGGGTAGATATCTTGTGGCTAGCATCTTGTGGGTAGACATTTTTCAATGCACAGCCTAGTCCCCCAGAGAATTACCTGGCCCAGAATGCCAAGAGTACCAAGTTTGAGAAACTCTGGTCTAAATATATGTGGCACTTACCTGTACCATTCATTTGGCATGTAATCACACACATCTTTTCTAGCATTGCTATTTAAATATTTGCTCTTTTATCTACATTCCTAAATTACTTTTATTTTGCTTTTGTACTAATAAGCACATTTATGTGGTATTCTAATTCTAGTGATTTCCTCCAGTCCCATGGCTTTAAATGCTATGTGTAAGATAATGAATCTCAATTTTATATTTCCAACTCTGAACTCATTTGAGTCCATAACCATATTTAACAAATTACTCACCATCTTCATCTTGGCGAGCACAGTGTGGCTCAGCATGTTCCAAGTGAATTCTTTTTTTTTTTCTTCTTTTTTTTTATTTCAGTATATTATGGGGATACAAATGTAAAGATTATGTATATTGCCCTTGCCCCCCTCTTCGAGTTAGAGCTTCAAGCGTGTCCATCCCCCAGATGGTGCACATCGCACTCATTATGTACCTATATACCCATCCCCTCCTTCCCTCCTCCCACCTGCCCGACACCCAATAGATGTTATTCCTATTTGTCCACTTAGATGTTGCTCAGTGAAACCAATTTGCTGGTGAGTACATGCGGTGCTTATTTTTCCATTCTTGGGATATTTCACTTAGTAGAATGAGTTCCAGCTCTATCCAGGAAAATACAAGAGGTGCTATATCACCGTTGTTTCTTAAAGCTGAATAGTACTCCATGGTATACATCTACCACATTTTATTAATCCATTCATGTATTGATGGGCACTTCGGTTGTTTCCACATCTTTGTAGTTGTGATGCTATAAACATTCGAGTGCAGGTGTCTTTCTCATAGAGTGACTTTTGTTCTTTAGGCAGAAAAAACAAAATGGGAGGTATCAATTTATCAGACTTCAAACTATACTACAAGGCTATAGTAATTAAAACAGCTTGTGACTAGCACAAGAACAGGGACATTGACAAGTGGAACAGAACAGAGAACCCAGATATAAAACCATCTTCATATAGCCATCTAATCTTTGACAAAGCAGACAAAAACATACACTGGGAAAAGAATCCTTATTCAATAAATGGTGCTAGGAAAACTGGATAGCCATATGTAGAAGACTGAAACAGGATCCACACCTTTGAAGTCTCACAAAAATCAACTCACACTGGGTAAAGACTTAAACCTAAGATGTGAAACTAATAGAACTTTAGAGGAAAATGTTGGGAATACATTTCTAGACATTGGCCTAAGCAAAGAATTTATGAAGAAGACCCCAAAGGCAATCACAGCAGCAACAAAAATAAATAAGTGGGACATGATCAAATTAAAAAGCTTCTGCACAGCCAAAGAAACTGTCATGAGAGCAAACAGACAACCTACAGAATGGGAGAAAATTTTCTCAAGCTACAGATCCGATAAAGGGCTGGTAACTAGAATCTGTTTAGAACTCAGGAAAATCAGCAAGGAAAAATCAACCCTATCAAAGAGTGGACAAAGGGCATGAGCAGAAACTTTCCAAAAGAAGACAGAATAATGGCCAACAAACATGAAAAAATGCTCAACATCTCTAATCATCAGGGAAATGCAAATCAAAACCACAATGAGATATCACTTAACTCCAGTGAGAATGGCATTTATTAACAAGTCCCCAAACAATAAATGTTAGCGTGGATGTGGAGAAATAGGAACACTCCTACATTGCTGTTGGGACTGCAAAGTAGTTCAACCTCTTTGGAAAGCCTTATGGAGATACCTTAAAGTGATACAAGTGAATCTACCATTTGATCCAGCAATCTCATTACTGGCATCTACCCAAGTGAATTCTTGACAATTTTGCAAACTCGATGGTGTCCAGTCTTCCTCTCAGTTATCTACCCAGTTAATCTGGCCAAAGACCTAGAGAACATGTTGATTTTTCCCACTTCCCACATTTAGTCAGTACACTTCTGTATCTGAATTTGTTTTTGTCCATCTTTCCAATACCAGCATCTTAGTCCAAGCCAATTTCATTTCTTATTTGGACTATTATACCAGATAACGACTGATATTCCTACTCCCATTTTTCTCTCCATCTTCTTTGTACCTCCCATATAATTGGAGTGACCTTTCTAAAGCCTAAATCAATCAGATCATTCTCCTCTTAAGCTCTCCACTAGTTTTGCATGGTTTTAAGTATTATCAAAAGCCTTTACCTTCACGTTCCATGTCCTGTATGACTCGACCTCTCTGGCCTTGTCTTCCACTCTCTCGCATGTGTCCTGTACCTGAGCCATGCTGATCCTCTTTCTGTCCTTTGAATACTCCCAAGTGCTTTCCCACTTCACCAGCTTAGCTGTGGCCACGCACTGTGCCTATAGCATCCTCTACACAGCTGCACAGACCTTCACGTGGCTTGTGCTTTACTTCCTGCAGGTCTCGTTTCTTCAGAGGAGTCTTTCCTGATGACCTAATAGCCCGTCTCTCTCTTTTTCTAACCCAATAGCCAGTATTATTTTTGTCTTATTATTTTCTGAATTAATTTTACTACTTTATTTGTTCATGTGTTTATTACCTTCCCCCTCCTTAAGTGCAAGTTTCTTGCATTAAGTGCCAAGTCTAGCACATAGTAAACACTCAATAAAAATTCAGAATATGGATGAATTTAATTAATTTGCCTATATATCTGTCTCTTCAATGGTAGAAGCCTTAACATTTGTTATTTAGTGTTTTATAGGTACATGTTAAAGTATGGAGTCAGTGACCATTTCTGATCATCTGCTTTAAACCCGTACCTTCTGCACAAAGCAGATGCTAAGCAAACATTTTGAGCCAGTGTTTAAAAACTCAAGTTCTGCAGTCTGATTTGGTCTAGCTCCTGTTTCCATCTTTGTATGTGACTTGGGGAAGTTATGTTTTGAAGTTTTGGCTTCCTCATCTGTAGAATAGGGACAATAATAGTATCTATTTTATAAGGTCACTTAAAGCAGTGTGTAGAAAGTATTTAGTATGGTACTTAGAACATTTTAAGTGCTTGATAAAAGTTAGCTATTTTTCTTATTTATTTACACTCTAAGTTCCTTAAGGATAGGGTAGGCTATAAGAATGTTAATTTCATTGTATATATTAATAAGTGTTTGCAGGAATGCAGAGAATATGTAACTACTGGGTTATATTCATGTTTTTCAGGTTGGAATAGCAACATGCCAAATTGCGAGAGCTTATGGCTAAAGGTTTTGGTACAGCTAGTACTGAAGAGGGACAAAAGATTGTTTTGCAAAATGGAGCCCATGAATGTTAAACCACAAAGAAGTTAATTATGTTGATAAAATTAAGGTAAAGTTTTCAACAATTTTACTAAAGTCAAACTTTGTTTCTTGGAGATTTACATGATTTTTTTATAAGTTCTTTTACCAACTACTCTCTTAATGTTGTTTGCTTCCTTTTTTAAAATGCTTGTATATATTTTTATGTCTATGTGTGTTAAAAGTTTTAATTCATTTAAAAGCAGAGATGTCTAATTTTAACCTTCACTATTCATTCTTTGTGTGTATTAAATAAAATATAGCCTCTCCTAGAGTCTTATACTATAAAAATTGGTGATTTTTAATACCCAGTCACATTTTAGGTAAACCTACAGCTTTGCATTTATAGCCATGAGGTATTCTTAATATAATTTCTACTGATGTGAACTTTCCATGGAAGGTGAGGTATCCACAGATTACAATTGGATCTGTTTAGCCCAAGGAATAAAGTTTATTTGTTAATTATATCCATAGTGGTGAGGTGGTATTTAGTTGTTGCATATAATAGAATTCAAGCGGATTCTGAAGTTCCCCATTTGTACTATAGAAGCAGTTTATTAAACACTGATTGCTTTGCTAATCTTAAACCGCTTCCTCTCACTGGAAAGAATTAGAGTTTCCTAGGTACTATGTAAACTAGGTCATTACTAAATAAACTAGGTCATTTTTCCTAGAGGAAAAATACGAGTGAGAATTTATTACCATTAAAATCGTCTTGCCAAAAAACTGAAGGAAAGTACTTTGTTATATGTCCAGGGAACCTCAGACACAGTACTCACTCCTGATACTATTATCCAGGAATATTACAAAGATGAAAAATTGCAAATTAAGTTTAGAGTATGGTTTTTGTTTACCCACAGTCTAATATTAAGGCCTTGAGATCTTGTAGCTTCCGTCCCTTTCGCTGATCCCTTCTGCTTAGGTCTCTCCCATTCTCAGGAACATTCCGTTAACCTTTAGCTCATCCCTTTTCTCTCTTCCTTTTACCACCAAACTTCTTGAAAAAGTACTGAGTACTTACGCTTTTCCTTCCTTACCTCCCACTGCAGTTGTGCTTACATCCCGCCTACCTAAACTGCTTCTCAGAGGTCACACATAAGCTCCTAATTGTCAGTCTGCAGTCTTCTCTCCGTCCTCATCCTCATTGGTTTTTCAGGAGCGTGTGACTCTGACCACATCTCCTTGAAACTTGTTCTCTTCTCACATCCCGGACTGTTCACTTGCAGTCTCCTTCCTCCTCATATTGTTTAATATTGACGTACTTTAGGTTTTCTCCCCTTGGTCGTTCATCTTCCCTGGTTCTAGACTTCCATCCTGGTCAGTCTCACACACTCCCACAAGCTTCAGTTATTACCTGTGTGCTGTTGATTTCGAACACTGTCTTTGGCCTCGATTCCTTCATGTCATGAGCCTGAGAGACATTGCCACTCATCTGTTCACCTACAACAGAAACCCTCATTTCATTTTTAATTCCTGTCTTTTCATCACCATTCTGTCTTCCACCCAGCATGTTGGTCACCCCATTCTATCAGTGCCAGCTGTAACATGCCTGTCAAATGCACCTTTTTTTCTCCATTCCTTTCACAACTATGACTGAATTTAGGCCTGAGTTTCTCCCACCTTAACAATCATTGATAACCTGGCTAATATCCCTTTCTATCTTTTCTACTGTGGCAGAGTTATTTGGTCCCCACATACCACTTAAAAAAAAAAAATCTCCAGGAAGTGATTAAAATGAAAGCTCTGTGAGGAGAGAAATTTTTGCCTGTTTTACTCACTACTGCACTGGCAGTACCTAAAACAGTGCCTGGCACAGGAATTAACAACTGCCACAAAAAAAAAAAAAAAAAAAAAGGTGTCAAATCCTTTAATGTTACATTCACTGTATTTTCACAATCTGTACCAGCATCACAATCTCCTTTCACCAACCCCTTCCCCTCCACTCCAGCTCTGCTCACGTTCTAGTCCTCGCTGTTCTCCATCCCTGACATCTTCGCTTTTCTGTTTCTTTGGTCCAGACTGACTCTGCCTTATGTCTCGCTTCCCCTTGCTCATCTTCCTTTCTTTTTGCCATTAATCATTTCTTCAGGGCCCAGGTATCACCTTGTGTAGAACTTTCTCTGACCATGTGCTGCATCAGCTTTAACTTTTTTCCCTAGATCGGTTTATTTCTGTTAATGCACTTAGCCCACTACATTATAGCTATAACTGTAGTATCTTCATCATCTTTCTCCCTAGCTTTGTTTTGATTCCAGTGTCCATCTGCGATTCCCAGTACCCTAGCACAATCCCTGGCACAGTGTTCATTTTTCTGGTTATAAATAAAATGAATATAATGTAGATTCATTTTTATATATGTCTTTTTAAGCAGCAAGTTTTAGATGTTGGGAACAAATTTCGTCTCAAGAGCTAAAAGAAAAGAGCTGTGTGTCAGGGCAGTTGAACCATATAGAGCAAAACTTAATCCCCCCCACCCCAAAATTAACCCCTGCAAACCAAACAGCAATGATTTTTTTTTAAATTTTTATTTCAAAATTGTTAATGGGTCAAGTGTTTCTGTACATGTATGGGATGGAGAAGAACTTGATTCGATTGTGTTTGTTTCTTTATGAAGGTTCTTTGGAAGATAGGAAACTTTCAGCTAAAGGAAAAATATTTGGTATACTCTGTGAGTCAGCACCTGAAATCCAAAAACAAGTTTTATTTCATTACCGCCAACAATTTATTTAGGACAAATATTTATTTTAAGATGTTACCATGGCTGGTATCTTAGAATTACATCACCATTATATAATTAGGTGATTTTAAAATTTTGAGTATTGTTAAATCTTAAAAATGTAGCCATGTTTATATGGTCATTTAAAACACATTTCTGTAATATGTGGTACATATAAGAGCTTTTTATAGTTTATTTATGCTGTCTTACTACTACATTCTCCTTTTATTATGTAGACAATCTGTCTGGTAGAAGGAATTGATGTGATTATTGAAATGTTAGCTAACGTAAATCTTAACAAGGATTTGAATCTTCTGTCATATGGAGTACAGGCATGCACCACCATTTTTTTTTTTTTTTTTTTTTTTTTTTACTTCTTTAAAGTTTTATCACAATTTAACACTGTTTTGCAGCAATCTTTAACTGTAGCCCTAGTGTTGTTTTTCATAATAGGTTGTTGGCAACAGAGGAACTATTGAAATAAACCCACGGGACACCATGGTAAAGGAGTGCAGTATAATTGGAGTTACTTTGTTTGCCACAACCAAGGTAGGAAAAGATGTCTGATTTGGGTAACTAAAACATTGGTACAATTTGCCTAGTGAGGTAGGCTGAAAGTTTATGTAGATGTTAAACTTAGTTATATGACTAGAGGACTTGGTAAGGATTAGTCACCAGAAGGATAACTAGAGCAGCAGTATAACTTATTATCCAAGTCAGGACACTTGTGAGAGAAAGGGGATACTGTTATATTCATAATTATTTTAGGAAATAGGTATTTATAAACTAACACTGTCCCAGGCAAATATGATTTATGGTTACCTTAAAGAGAACTAGCTCTGGACAAGTCATACATTCTGACAAAAGGGTCACATTTGTAAGAGACTCTTTATGGGATAACTCATAAATTCCGAAGTTTTTTAATGGTTCTGAAAATTAAGTCATATGATCCACTATAAAAAAAAAATCTTTTCTTTTCCTCAGGAGGAATTTCAGCAGTTTGCAGCAGCCCTTCAAGCTGGAATGGAAGTTGGTTGGTTGAAACCTGTAATAGGTCCTCAGTATCCGTTGGAGAAGGTAGCGCAGGCTCATGAAAATATCATTCACAGCAGTGGGGCTGCTGGGAAAATGATTCTTCTCCTATGATGATTCATTCTTACATGGATTTCCTATGTAATTAGAGCTTATCTTTCCCCCAGTTTTATTTACACTATCTTTTCTTTAACATTTATTTTATTTAGTGAGTTTCTTATGTGAAAAAACAAGATTTTTCTTTAGAGAGCAGAGGCAGTGGAGTAAAATTTATTTGCTAGCTGGAAGTATTGTTTTATGCTTTCTATCTCAAAGTCATTATAGTAGGAAATAGCATGTTAGTGGTCATTTGACATTGAGGTGCATTGCAGAAATTCTTAACTGATACTTGATTGATTCCATACCTTTGATTGAAACATGCTAATTCAAAGTAAGACTGATCAATTTCTATGGATTTTCAAACTTACTTATCTTTATGAAGGTTCTTTAGTCTCTGATTAGCCATGGCTGTGTTGGACTTCAGAGATTGTTCTGGACTAAAAAAGACCCCTTTTTAAAACTAATTTCATCTAGATCTATAAGTCTCTTAGAAGGGCAAGAATAAACAATGTCCAGGGAAATTTGTTAGTTTTCCCAATATTTACCAAAATATTAGAATAGTCACTGCATTTTTAGTTGATTGCGAATGACACTCATATGTCCTGTAAGGACAGCAGTCTTATTTTTGGTATAATATGATACTAGGCACATAATCTATAAATAGATAATACTTTTTGATTGATAAGATTTTCAGAGTAGATTTAGTGTTATCTGTTTGTGTGATGGGGATCATATATTTAAATTAATAAGCTCATAAATTTGACACATTAAAAGTGGTTTGCTTTTGTTTTCATATCATGGTAACCTGCAATAAATTCTGAAGAAAATCAAAACCTGTGTTTATCTAATTTGTATGGTACTTGCCTCACATCATTTCTGCATAGCTCCTAATAGTTACTTACCAACAGTGTTCTGTGCTGAAAGTCATTATCTAAACTAAATACAGGGATGAGCTCTTAGAAATCTTGCCGTCAATGTTATATTCAAGGAAATAAGGTTTGGTTATTTGTTGTTTTTGTTTTTCTTCATATGAAAGCATCCTCTTGTGTTTTGTTACATTATATGGTTAATTGTTTTAACCTGATTTGTTCTGTTGAATTACAGTTTCTGGTTCGAATGTGGTATCCTGCTTCAATAGTGAACAGAAAATAGTCCTAATTTCTAAAATCTTTCAATTGAAGGATATCTTTCAGTCTTGGCTTCTGGTTGTATGTGTCATGGCTGAAGTGTTTTTGCTATTGGAATTTTTCAAGTTTATTCACTATTTCTTTTACAGGTTAACTGTCCTGTAAAATAACATTTTTGAAAAAAGTGTTAAAGCAGTGTCGTCTATTGGCTAGCATTTTATGTGCATCCTAAATGGAGGATCCCTTCTCATGCATAAAGATAAAGGAATAGTTATTCTGTAAAAGTTTAATCTGTTTACACATTTGCCTTGTCCATAGAATGAGCTAAAGCAAACAGATGACTTAGCACTTCACAATCTATTGATATAGTTCAGTTAATTTGAAGTCAAAGCTAGTCAAACTGTATGTTTTAACTACCATATTTATGATTATGTAGCATTTGATATGTTCTTTCCAGAATCTCCTTGTAATTCTAGTTCTAGACTTGTCCTTTCAACTAACTACATTTATTACTTGCGTCGTGCCTTAGGGCTACTACACAGTCACTAGTGCCTGTCCCGGAAGTAATATAGAGAGCAACCTATAGAATAAACAAGCACTATTTAACCCCTCAACCTTCTGGATTTCTCTTCCTGTTCGCTTTGACTTCTGTGACTAAGAGTCATATGAATGTGTTAGAGACCAAATCGCTCAGCCACCCTGAGCCCCAGATGGGGAAACAACACACCAAAGGTCACGTGACTACAAGATTCAAATTCAGCTGACTGTTTTTTAGTGAGCTGTTGGTAAAAAACTAAAAACTCCTGAATTTTAATTTCTAAGCCTTTGGGTTTCCTTGCTCACTGTATTTCTGGCTTTTATAGGAGTTGAGTCATTTGCTTTCTAGCTTAGTTTTGCCTGGGATCCCTGGTTCCTGGCCCTATTAATCCTCCCTGCCTCAGTTGTCACCTATCTCGTGATTTGACAGTACTTCATGAAGGGGATTGTTCTGTTCACCCTTTAGTTCAACAAATATTGAATACCTAAACAGTCTGAGAAGCACCTTCCTGGAATTTGAGGATACAAAGATACATAAGACATAATCCACATCCTTGAGCATATAGTTAAGTAGGGACGAGACCCAAGTAAAATATTTTAGAATATAAGGGAGTGTATCAGAGTTCTCCAGAGAAGCAGAATCAATAGGAAATACATATATTAAGAGATTTATTTGAATGAATTTACTCATGTTAATTGTGGGGCTGGCAAGTCAAAATTTGTAGGGCAAGCCAGCAGGCTGGAAATACAGATAGGGTTTCTATTGTTGCAGTTTTGAGGCAGAATTCTTTCTCTGCAAACTTCAGAGTTTGCTCTTAAGGCTTTCCAACTGATTGGATGAGGCCCACCTGCATTATTGAGGGAGATTGTCTTTACTTAAAGTCAATTGAAAATGTTATATTAACACATACATAGAACATGATGACTTTGTGTTGACCACATAAAACTAACCATCCCAAAGGGTGACATGAAGACACAAAAGAGAGGCACTTAATATAGCTTGGGATTTGCAAGTGTGCATTTAATACTTTTGATGTATTAGCTCTTTCCATCCTTAGTAGCTTTGGCCATAGAGGTAAAAACAAACAAACAAAAAACGTGGATACTTCTGAAAGGGAAAAAAAAAATCAGGTAGCATTTTATAATGTTCTTAACTCATCTTTATTGAGGCAAGAAATGATACACTTCCACAATTCACAGTGTGCAAAGAGCTTTTTTCTGCACAATTCCCAAGAATGGCAAAATCTGTTGGGTCAATTTGACCTCACTCTTTCAGCCTCCTCAACCACATCTCACAAACAGAAAAACACCTCAGCTCAATCCTTAATCATCTCTTTCTAGTACTAATGTCATTTAAAAATTATCCTATGACAATTTTACAAATACATAGGGTTCTTATTGTGGGAACTCCCTACATCCAAGGAAAGGGCCTAGGAAGTGTGACATAATAGAAAGAAACCTAGGTTTACTTTTATTTTTGTCGACCCCTAAGTCATTCATGGGGACAGTCGATATATGTACTTTAAGAATGAATCTAACATTGATCTCAAAACTATCGCATGATACAGATGCGCTAAACATAACCACAGATTAACAGTGTCTGATTTATTCATTTCCAACTTCATGTGAAAATATTCACAAAGACTGCAACAGTACGAGAAACTAAAGAGGAAATCTTGTGCCAAAATCCATTTGGAATTTCTATCGTCATTGTCCATCATTTGATTCATTGAACCAGAGTAGGTAGGGAAAAACCTCAACTCAGTCACTGCCTCTAAGTTGGAACACAGGAACTACACTGCCTGGAAAACCAAGCCCTTTTTTGCCCAGAAATCATCTGAACCAGCTAGAGTTGAGGTCTGTGAGATACTATCACCCCGCAGTATCCTTCGCTCCTTGCATTTACATGCATTTTAGAGACTACAGGTTTCAATTTTTAGTACTGCTGCAGATTAAGGAGGTAGGGGGACTCTTGCACCCTTGGATATACAGTTGCCAGAGAGAAAGCCTTGCAAATGGGTGGAGAGTGGAGGGTCCCTGGGTTGTTGCATATGCAGGAGAGTATACAACATTTGCACGAAGAACATTCATCTGACTCTAGCAAAGCCAGATAATCTAAGAATTGGAGCAGAAGATTCCCATGCCTTAGTCTAGCAGGCACTGGAATTGACACAAGGTATTTAAGAGGCCACCTCACTTCAGGTATTGATCTGAAAGGAACTGAGCTCCCTTATGGGCAGGGAGGAGGGCCACAGGCATATGAAACTCTCTGGTAAGAGTTATTAAGAGGATGGGTTATGTAGGAGAAAGACCTGGCTTTCAATCCTAGGTCTGTTACTGAGCAGCTGTGGCATCCTGGGCAAATTAATCATTTGGAACCTCAGTTTTCTCATATGTAAGGTGGAGACAGATAGGTAAGAATGGTAAGAAATAAGATAACAACTGTGTTGTACTGAGCACTCTGTCTTGCACAAAGAAGTGTTTAAATAATCTTTCACTTTTTATTTCAAAATACTAAGGGGCTACAAATGTTTTTGATATGTGGATAATTTTTATAAAGCTTGGGTCAGGGCCATTAGTATGCCCATCACCCAAATAGTGCTCATTGTACTCGTCAGGTAGCTTTTACCCCTCTGCTCCTCCCCCTCCCCCCTTCTTGATTTCCAGTGACTTTTACTTCCCTCTGTGCTCATGTGTACCCATCAATTAGTTCCAATTTATTAGAGAGTACATATGGCATTTACATATGGCATTTGTTTTTCTATTCCTGAGATAATTCACTTAGGATAATGGTCTCCAGTTCCATCCATATTGCTGCAAAGGACATTAATTCATTTCTTTGTATGGCTAAGTAATACTCCACGGTATACGTATAGCACATTTGGTTAATCCACTCATGAATTGAAGGGCATTTAGATTGATTCCACATTTTTGTGATTGTGAATTGTGCTTTAATAAACATTCAAGTTCAGGTGTCTTTTTGATAAAATGACTTCTTTTCCTTTGGGTAGATACCCAGTAGTAGGATTACTGGACCATATGGTAGGTCTACTTTTAGTTCATGAAGAATCTCCATACTATTTTCTATAGAGGTTCTACTAGTTTGCAGTCCCTCCTCAGTGTATAAGCATTCCTTTCTCTCTGCATTCATGCCAGCACCTATTGTTTTTTGACTTTTTAATAATACTCATTCTGACAGGGATAAGGTAATATCTTACTGTGGTTTAAATGGCATTTCCATGATGATTAATGATATTGAGAATTTTTTCATATGATTATTGGACATTTGTATATCTTCTTTGGAAAAACTGTTCATGTCTTTTGCCCACTTTTTAATGGAGTTGTTTGTTCTTTTCTTGCTGATTTGTTTGAATTCTGTGTAGATTATGGATAGTAGCCCTTTATGGGATGTATAGTTTGTAAATATTTTCTCCCCATTCTATAGGTTGTCTCTTTGCTCTGTTGATGATTTCCTTTGCTATACAGAAGCTTTTTAATTTAATTAAGATCCATTTATTTATTTTTGTTGTTACTGTGATTGCCATTGGAGTCTTCGTCATAAATTCTTTGCCTACATTGATGTCTAGAAGAGTTTTTCCTACATTTTCTTCTAGAATTTTTATGGTTTCATGCCTTAAGTCTTTTATCCATCTTGAATTAATTTTTT